TCTCCCTAATGGAGCCTTGGGTGCCCCCCCCCCCCCCAACTCACACACTTTGGAGACCATGGAGCTAAGACATTCACTTACCCAGCACCACTTTGCACGGTGGCAGATAACACGAGAATTGGCTCTGATGACTGTCCCCACCTGACATTCACTTCATGCTCTTTTAAATCCAAATGGGCACTTTCACACCTGCTGCAAAGCTGAGTGATAAAACATCTGTGTTCTTGGTCTTTTTCTCTTGATTGATGAGGTGGGTTTAACGCAGGATTTTCTCTTAGCTTTTCCTGCATGATATACCTGGTGATGGTCTCTCCCACCAGCCCTGTGAGAGGACAGGCACTTCCTCAGGGGCATCTGGAATTTGGCCATGGTTGGCCACAGATTCCTTTTCTCTCTCCTGTTGCATTAATTAAGAACAAAGGAGAAGGAAACCCACCCAAATCTGGCTTAAGCAGGAGAGAGAATTTGTTAGCTCCTGTAACTAAGTAGTTTGAGGGTCTGGGTGTGTCCAGGTAGCTCAAAACGATGTCACGGAGATTTATCATCTCTCTGACTGCCTTTTCCAGCTTGGTTTTCCTCTGTTGGCAGTGTCTCTGTGAGTGGTGGTTCCCAGAAGCTCTAGGCTTATTTTATCCTTGAAGCAAACAATTCCAGAAGAATGCTTCTTGTTCTCATCAATTCCAACAGAAGCTCAGGGATGGACTTTTATTGGTTTCCCTCGGGTGTCCATCTCCGAACCATTGGCTATGGTCAGGTAAATGTAATGCTTGGATTGGCCAGGTCTTGGTCACATGACCACACCTAGCGCTGGGGCTGAAGCACTGTCCCATCACAATGAATGAGAATCCAGGGGAAGGGGAGGGGTGTGAAAGCATGAGCTACACCACCTTCCACACCTTTGAATGAGGACTTCCCTTGACGGAGGCTCAACCACAGGGTTGGAACAGCAGAGCCTTCTGCCTGGTTGGCAGCTTTCTCCTGGCAACTCAATTGTGATGCTAACTACCCAGAGTTAGGTCAGATTTCACAGCTTAAGGGCACAGTCCCCAACAAGAATGCCCCAAGATAGCCGTAAGTTCAGGAGTTCTCAGGACACCTACACTTCTGACCAAATGGCTCAAATTTGGGGGTTACCTGTAGCCCCTAGGTCCAATAATTCATTAGACAATTTAGGGCAGTGATGGCGAACCTATGACACATGTGTCAGAGGTGACACGCGAACCCTTTTTTTGGTTGATTTTTTTTGTTAAATGGCATTTAAATATATAAAATAAATATCAAAAATATAAATCTTTGTTTTACTATGGTTGCAAATATCAAAAAATTTCTATATGTGACACGGCACCAGAGTTAAGTTAGGGTTTTTCAAAATGCTGACATGCCGAACTCAAAAGGTTCGCCATCACTGATTTAGGGGTTACCAATAGCCCCTTAGGTCCAACCATTCAATAGAACAACTCACAGAACTCAGGGCAATGTGACACCTATGATTACAATTTTATTGTAAAGGGTGTAAATAAAGACCATTGGAATGAAGAGTTACACAGGAAGAGGGCTGGGAGGGTTCCAAACTTTGAAGCTTCCATCTCCTCAAGATTATCACCCTTCTGGTACATCGTATACGGTTATCAACCAGGGAAGCTCGCTGATGCTCCTGGCATTCAGAGTTTTTATTAGGGTTTCATTATGTGGGCATGACTGATTGAATCATTAGCCCTGTGACTGAACCTGATCTCACTTCTTTCCCTGACCTTCAGGAGGGACAAACTGACATCACATGACTCAGAGCACCAACCTTCTAATCACATGACTGATCTTTCTAGTATGGCTAGCCCCCAATCTAAAACTATCCAATTGCCCACTGTAGTCACCTCATTAGCATAAATTCAGGTGTGGCCTGAGGGCCCCACTATGAATAACAAAGATGCTTCTATTATTTGAAAACTTCCAAGGATTTAGAGGCTCTGTCCCAGGAATTGGGCATAAAAACCTAGACAATTTCTTTATTATACAACTAGGGGTCTGATGCACGAAATTCGTGCGTGGGTAGGGTATCTAGGCCTGGCCAGCAATCAGGGCCCATCAGGTTCCCTGCCTCCCAGCCTCCCTGCCCCGTGGGCCACTGCTAGTCACCTGCCATGTTCCACGCTGCCCCCTGGTGGTCAGTGCACATCATAGCGAGCAATTGAACTCCCAGTCTCCTGGTTGAACTCCCTAGGGGACAATTTGCATATTAGCCTTTTATTATATGGGATAGTCTTCTATGCTGGATTCCAACTTCTTCCCAGGCTTGGATATTAACCATGGTCCCCTATTCTTCTCTGCTGCCACCACTTCTAGACCCAACATCAACTTCTGGCTGAGACTTTTAGCATCTTCCTCCCACAGCCTCATCAGAGGTCCCTTCTGGGTCTCCTCCTGAGCCCCACTGCTCCCTCTTTCCAGCCCCATTCTCTCTTCCTCCCAAAGCCGCAGCCTTGGAGTCCAGCTGTCTGTCCGTCTCTTCATTGGTAACAGATGGGATGTAGATCATTTGGACTCCGCTAAGCTGGTACTTATCCCAGGAAGTTTTCTCTAGAGGACACTTTGACTTATTTTCTTGTGGCTCACGTCTGAACTTCTTTCCTTTTTGGGGGAATCTTGCACTTTATGATATGAATCGTCCTATTATAAAAGTTGAAAAAGTCAGAATCTGCTTTCTCAGCTTTCATGCAGCTTGGATGTGGTCATGTGACTGAGGCTTTGGCAATCAGACCTTCATGTCCTCAGAGGTAGTGATGTAGAGACTCGGTGAAATGGGCCAGGGTCAGATTTCATTGCATGTGTCTAAAGACATTGTTGTGCCTTCCTCGACTTGCCAGGTTGGGCGGGTGGCTTTCTGTGTGCTCCATCTGCACCACTTTGCCTGTCGCCATCTCCATCGTTATGACGTGTATTGAGTCTTATTGTGAGTTGTATGCTTTACCTATGCTCTCGCATTGATTCCGTGGTGTTATACCCATTTTATTTTATTTTTAATATATTTTATTGATTTTTTACAGAGAGGAAGGGAGAGGAATAGTTAGAAACATTGATGAGAGAGCAATACCCATCATCTGCCTCCTGCACACCCACTACTGGGGATGTGCTCGCAACCAAAGTACATGCCCTTGACCGGAATTGAACCTGGGACCCTTCAGTCCACAGGCTGACGCTTTATCCAATGAGCCAAACAGGTTATTAGGGCTCTTATACCCATTTTAGAGATGAGGTATGTGGAAGTGAAGACACCTTCCAAAGTAATGTAACTTGTGAGAGAGCACAGTTAGGATCTGGATTTTCCCTATCTGACACCAGAACCTTTTCTCTTAACCATCATGCTATAGGACCACTGTCCAAACCTTCTGCATAATCCTGGAGCATAGGGTCTAGGTGTCTTTTTACACCTGTGATCTCTCTCACATACTCAAGCTCAAGTAGATGACAAGGTCTAACCTGGCTCAAACACTCCATGACCATCATGAGCTGCCCTCCCACCTCCCACCCACCAAGTGGCACCCCTTCCTCCCTCAACTCCATTCACCCAGTTGCCACCTCAGGACTTGTTTTCCACTTAACAGGAATCATTCTCCTCCGTCACACACCTATTCCCATGAAGACCTTCTTCAAGTCCATGTCAAGTGGAAAGTTTGCTACAATAGTCAGCGTTTTGTTTTGTTCCATCTCTGTTTCGCTTTTGGGACTTTGGATGTGAATGTGCCTCATGAAGCGCCTTAGGATGGCTCATTGTCCTCCAACCTCCCCATTTTTTGGTGAGAAGAATTTTACTCCTTTGGGAAGGTGTTGGCATAGTTAATTTTGCCATTTGGAAGATTTAAATGGTTTTAAAAATGTATTATAACTGAATAACTGGCTCTGACCTCCACCAAAAGATGACCAATTTAAGTCCCAAGACAAAAGCTTCTAAAATAAGTATTTCTCCCTGCGGCTCTTCTTTGAGGCTGGGATCTGGGAGGTGATGTAGTGCCTCCCCCTAGTCCCTAATCTACTTTAGTCGTAGAAGAGCCTTTGTTTGAATAAATGTTCCTTGCCTACCCAAAGTAGGCCTTTTGCTGCTGGTAATGCTTGCTGCCTGCCTTTTCAGTAGAAGGTTATATTTTGCAGGCAAGCATGATGGAAGCATAATACTAACATAAACCACTAGGTGGTGCTGCAGCTCTGAGAAATAGCCTTGGAAAGTGGCAAGCTGGAGGGTGGAGTAAGTCCTGTGATTTCAGCATCTCCCCTGTGCTAGACAGACAGACACCCATTCTAGACTTGGCTCTGCCACTTACTGCCTATGTGACTGTTGGCAGATGACCTTAGGCTTTGGTGTCCTTCCTTGTGAATGGCGATGATAACACAGCCTACCTCAGGGATGTTCTGAGCGTCGCATATGATGCTGCTGGAGTATTATCTAATTTGCAAACTGCGGATTGCTGTGCAAATCGAAGTTAATATGGTGCCAGGAAGCCCTGCCATTAGAGCGATCTCTTGGGAATGATTCCAAAAGCAAGATAGCTTTTGTGACCTCCTTGTCCCATGCAGTGAGGGCTGGGGGTCAGTCGGGGTAGGGAGGGAACGCAGAGGCAGCTGAACGTGATTGTAAATGATATTATGAGGCCATAATATACCCAGCATGGAGCCCATTGAATAGCAAAAGCTCGTTAGTATCTGAATACCACACCCAGATTCCACCTCCAACTCTTCCCCAGCGAGACAGCAAACATTCAGCTCAATTTTATTATCTGGAATTTGAGGATGCAGTGCAGGAATCTGGAGAAGGGAGTGGTAGAGGCAGGCCGGGGCCAGTGAGGAACAGAGACTGTAAGGTTGGACTGGGGTGTGAGGGTAAGAGGAGTTACTTGGGGGTAGCTCCCTTTCTGCTGGCAGAAGTCAGTCTCCAGGTGGCCCTACTAGATCATGCGCATCCAGTGTAGACTAGCCTCCTCCACCGGGACAGCTGGCCGGCCCGGCCCACGCTATGTCCGGGCAGTCTGGGGCCGGACGGGGATGCTGATCCGGCTCCGCAGCCAGTTGATGTAATCCTCTTGAGGCATGTGGATAATGTGTTCTCGCACAAACTGCAGGGCGAATACAGTGGCAGCCTCAGATTTGGTCTGAAAGCTAGATTCCTCGGCCTCCCCTCCCCCCAGATCCTGAAATATCTGTGACTGAGGGTGGTGGTCCAGGATGCCTCCAACCATTCAGACATTCGGAATGCCTGCAGCATTGTGCTGGGTGGTTCCTTCTAGAAAAAGATCCCTTTCTAGGGTCCTGGTTCAAACTGCAGGCTCATTTTAAGCCTTTTTTGTTGACCCTGAGAAATTTAGGGAGATCAGGAAAACTCAGCTGTCTGCATGTTTCTTTCTTTTCTACTCCTTAATATCTTTTTAAAAAAGTAATGTGCCCTTAAACTTATTTTGGTTTATAAACCCCTTTGAGGATTGATGACAGCTGTGGGCTTGCTTCCAGGAAAGGGTTAAGACACAGAATGTAGTTTCAAATAGATTCTAGGTTAAGACACCCACATCCAGGTTACTGGAAGTTCTGTGAGGTTCTCACTGGGAGAGGAACATGCTGAGTTTCACTAGCTGGGGCCATGCACTCACCTCGGAGAATCGGGGGAGCCCCCACATCCCCCCTCCTCTTGCCCATTCAGAGATGGCCCCATAACTGGCAGGTTAAAGGTAGATCCCATAACTGGCAAGCGGAGGTTGGACAGTTGCTCTGGAGTTGGTTTTGGACTAGCAGCCTTTCCTGAAGGGCCCCTTGCTTGCTTGCTTTCACCCCCACTGACTGCCTGCAAGTTCCTCCAACAGTTCACGTTCTGCACTGGGGTCTTTGCACGTGGTCTTCCCTCTGCCTGACCTGTCCATTCCCCTACTCTTCTTAGTGCTGTCTTTTCATCATTCAAGTCTTGGCTTAAAACTCACCTTCCCCAGTTGCTCTGATAGGCTAAGATAGGTCCTCTCTACCTTGACCTTGAATGAATGCTCCTCAAACTTTAAAAAATCACCCAGGGACTCATTGAAATGCAGACTCTGAATTGGCAGATGTGGTTTGGCTAAGATTGTGCATTGCTGAGAAGCTCCCAGGCGAGGTCCATGCTGTTGGTCCATGGGCCACAGTTTTAGCCGCCAGATCTAGAGGGCTCCTCGTTATGACCGCCAGTTATTTTATTCCCTTGTCCATTTATTTCTGTCTCTCCAAGGCCTCCAGTTTCTCCCGGGGGAGGGGGGGGGGACCATTTACAAAGAACCTAATGTCCCCTGGAGTTGAACCACCAAGGTCATGTGACAACCCCTCTTCTACTAGATCAGTGGTTGGCAAACTCATTAGTCAACAGAGCCAAATATCAACAGTACTTCTTCAAAATAGACTCGCCAGGCCGAAAACCAACTTCTGCTCATGGGCCACGAAGTTTCGATCGCACTGTATGCGCGCCCGCACGTGGTATTTTGTGGAAGAGCCACACTCAAGGGGCCAAAGAGCCACATGTGGCTCGCGAGCCGCAGTTTGCCGACCACGGTTAATGATAAGCTCCCAGAAGGCAGAGATCTCTGTCCTTTACGTTGTGTTCCCAGCACTCACATGGTGCCTGGGTGTTGAGAGGTGGTGGGATGAGGGCCCCGGGCGCATGGGGAGGGGAAAGGATGTGGCAGTTACCTCGATAGCCACAGCGACGTCTGGGGAGCACAGTTCCCAGGTCCTCAGATCCTGTAGCACTTTCAGGAGGACGTGGGGCCTGATCCTCAGGTCCAGGTTTTCCCCGAACTTCTGCAGTTTTGCCAGGATCTTTTTGGCGGGGCGGAAATTCTTCAGATCTTCGGGGAGTTTGGACAGAAGATCAAAGTACCTTGGATTTGAAGAAGAGAGGGCACCTCATGTCCTCCATCTCTCTCTGCCCGCCATGCGATGCCTCCAGGGCAGCATTACTCTTTATCTGGGGGACTTTCCTCTACCCTAAATGTAAGGGGCCTGCAGATCGGGCACATCTTTAATTTTTAAGGGCAGTAAAAGCTGGAGCACGATTTGCATCTCATTAGAAAAACAAATTAGGGATATACTTTAAAGAGATGCATTTATTATTTTTCTAGAAAAGCTGGCAAGAAAGGAAAGGTAACTGAGGTTTTGAAGTGTCAGAGAGTTAATGGGGCCAGGGAGGACATGGACTCATCTGTGGGGTAGTCTCCAGAGTGCAGGAGGCTCTCACACACCAGCTGGAGGAGGAGGAGGAAAGGAAGGGGTGTGTGTGGGGGGGAAGATGGGGAGGGAGATAAAGAGGGAAGGAAGTGTGTGCATGTCCCATGTCTCTGTATGGAGAAGCCTGGCCACAGCTCTGTGTATTTCAGTGGGTTTTGTGAACTTTCCTGATGCCACTGTGGAGTACAAGGGTCCTTTGCTAATCCATGGTGGAAGCAAGATGGATTCTAGCCCCGACGGGGGTCAGGTGTGATCAGGGTTTAAGAGGGTCTTTTTAAAAGAGGGCAGTGGTGGCATCTCTTTAAAAAGTCCCCGCCCTGATCTATATGTATCCATTGTGGAAAAATTTGAAGAAGAAATTGATCACCATACATTTTGGGCTCCTGGTATGTCCTGTTATATATTTTATGATATATATTTATATATATTTATGCCTCTTTGTAAGCTTCCGTTCCACATTATTAAAATCATGGAAGGGATTCGGGGTACCTTTTTAGACTTTCTCATCTTACTCTTAGAGCTTGATTTACTCGCCCTGCCAGGATTAGGTTCATAAAATTACAGTTCATCCGACTCCAGTTCTGTGCTGTAGATGAGCATGGAGACTGGGGTCAGGCAGGGCTTTGAATCCCAACACTTCCTTGTTCGTACAGTGGGGATTGATGTGCACCCTCAGCATTTCTCTGGGGGATACAGGTGCTAATATACGAACATTGCTCAGGTGGTGTCCGCCATCCAGTCATCTCTCAATTCCTATGGCTTTTTGTTATACTTATCACCCCTGGGCACAGCGTTCCTGGGACATGCCTGCCTGGTTCTGTAGCTGTAAGGGGTTAAGTTACTTGGGGAACATAGTGATCACCCCGAAGACCTCTGACTCTGTAGAAGTTTTCAGGTTGGTTTGCCTCATCTGCCGCTCCCATAGGGCCGGTGAGTTGGTCCCTGTTTGCAAGTCTGAATCAAACAGAAGATAAACGTGGAGAACAGAGCTGGTCAGATTGTCTGGGCTTCGGGAACTGAAGGGTTCTTGCCTGACTGCTCTGGAGACAGCCTGTTGGGGGGCCCTGTTGCTGGCCAAGGGCAGCTTTGGGGTGATGCCTCTCCATGATGCGAGAGCTAATGGGATCAAATGGGATTTTGTAACAGCGGCCCTCCCTTCACCCGCTTCAAGGACCGTCTTAGCTGGCTCTCAGGGTATTTACCAGTGGTCTGCAATTTCTTCTGCGTCTCCTTTTACCATGGACACTTTATGTCTCATTTTTGCTATGTCCTTTTGAAAATTCGAGACGAGGACAAAAGAGTGGAACTTCTGGAGACCTCTCTCTTCCTGGCGCCTGCATCACAGGTTGTGTGAGAAAGAGGAAGAAGAGTCAGAGCCCTGCCTCCTTCACCCATCCTCGCTGCCCTTTGAGGTCGGACTCAGACACTTTTTCCTGCATGAGGTTCTTAACCCTCCCAGCCACTATCAAATTTACTATCTGGCATTGGCTACAAGATGACACACCTCTCTCCAAGGTCCTGAAATGCTCCTTTCTTGCTACAGTCAGTAATTTTTTTAAAAAAAATCAGCCTTCATTCTCTCCCTACTTTTGATTGTATTTTCACAGCTTTCTCATCTGTAAAATGAAGGATAATAATGGTTCCTAGCTCTCAGAGGCGAGGATTACAGAATACAATGTGTGTAAAGTGCTGAACTTGGTGCCTGCCAGTCACACAGTGGGCGTTTACCTCATGCTGTTTTCTCTCTTCTCCACACCCCTTATCATTTTGTGCATAGGCCCTATCTCTCCAAAGAGACTTTACAAATATAACCATGCCATTCACCTTATGTGCGTTTGGATAGCTTCCCATTTTACTCAGAATAAAGTCCTCTGAGTCACTTGCTCTCTGAGGCTCTGGATTCTTCAGCCCCTACAACATTTTCCAGCCTTATCCCTGCCCTTCCCATCTCTTCTCTCCCAGAATTTTATGCTTTGGCTCACGATCAGAGACTGAGATAAAGTTCAACCTCCACAGCTGGACTGGTAAGGCCTTTTATGATCTGGCCTCTGTTTTTCTCTGATGACCTTGTAGGCAACCACAACCAAGTCCCAGGCACACCTGGCTACTGGTAGTTCCTGACCCACTGGGCCCTCAAGCTTCTGGAACTTTGCTGTTCTTTCTCTGGAACTCCCTGCCTTCCTCCTTTTCCTGTGTGTCTCTCTGGGTTTGAATGCCACCTTTACTGCTTAACTCCTGGGTGACCTTTGACAAGAGACGTCTCTGAGCCCACTTTTCTCATCTACAAAATGGGTCTAATAATAGTACCTACCCCGTAGGATTGTAGTGAGGACTTAGTGATAAATACACACAAGGCTCTTACACCATGACTGCTACACAGTAAGTGCCCCGGAAATATTACCTGACTTTATTAAGCTGAAAATAGTGTTTCCTCCAGGACGACCTTGCTGATTGCTGTTGCAGGCTAGGAAGGACGCCCTCTTCCCGTGTTCCCTCAGCCCCCTGCTCTCTTCCCTGTTGGCCCTCATCACTCTGTGTGGTAATCGCCTGTTTACTTTTCTGTCTCCCTCATTAGAGTGGGGCTCCCAGAAGGCAGGAACCAATCGCCTCTAATCCCGTGGCCCAGAGCAGCCAGTCCATCCAGGCGGAGAGGGCAAAGGGTCACCATGCAACCTTTGTTGGATGGACAAGTTCATTGGAGTGAATGGTCATGGCGGTCAAGGAGTAGGCTGGGGTGGGAGGCAGTTACTGGGTTGTCAGAATAAAAAAGTTTCCAGTGGCCTCCTGGTGTTCTTAAAATCCAGTTCCAAGTTTTAATGATGACATGTGTGGCTGGCTGTGCATGTTGCAGCTGTCACCTGCCGCTTCCCTGTCCTCTTCAAACTTTCTATGTCCCTTTCAGCCTCAGGACTTTGTATGCACCTTCCTGCTGCCTGGAATGTCCATCTATCCTCTCACCACCCCACCAGCTCTTCCTTATCCTGAGTGAGGTCTTCCTGGATCACCTGACCTCAATTAAGTCCCCACAGTTTCTCCCTCTCTCAAAGCACCTGTCCTTTTCCTGTATAGCAATGATTATAATTTGTACCTATATGTTTATTAATTCAGTTAGTTTGTTTCTGCCCATATTTCCCAGGAGAGGCGATAAGCTCTCTGAGAGCAGAGAACGCATCCCTCCTGTACCCTGCTGCAGCCTCAGCACCGGCACACGGCATCGTGTGGGCACGCAGTAGGTGTCAGACGAATGTCCTTTGCGTGAGTGCATCTGCATGTGCCCTTACTTCATGAGGATTTCTATCTTGTCCTGCAGACAGAAGCCGGCCTCCTGGGCCACGTTGTAGAACTTGGCCCTCATGGTGGTACACACACTGGTCGTGCAGTGGATGAGGTCATGGTAGGTGCGGCTGTGGACACAGACAAGAGGGGTTTGGGGGGTCAGGGCCAAGAGACAGACCCATGAGGCTGGCCTCTCTGGGCCCCACAGTGCCTTGCAGCGGGGATTCCAGGCGCCCACCGGGGCTCTCCGCCCGCCCCTGGAGCCTTCCCAGCATCACCGTGGATGGAGGAAGGACAGATCTTCCCGACATGAAATGAGCCCACAGCGAGACATCTGGCCACTTGAGCCCAGCAAATGTTAAGGACCTTGAGATGAGGATGGAATTTGGAGCTGGGAGATCCAGGTTCAAACTCCAGGGCCATGTTTCTTAGCTGCCTGGGTTGGGCAGGACATTTCATGGGCCAGGTGTCAGTCTGCTTCTCTGTAGTATGGGATAATGTTGCCACCTCATAGGATTGCTTTTGAGGAATAAGCAAGATAGTGAATACGGAATGCTTTTCCCAGGGCCTGGCACAGGGGACGAATTTGATGCCATTGCTTATGTCGCTTGGCATCTTGACCTTGAGCCCCTTGCCCTGGGAGCCCCTGGTCCTTCAGCCGCGTCTGTGGCTTCCGGGGGCCTGGCCCACACTGGGTTATTTCCCCTGGGAAGATGGAGGGTGTGGTCACCACAGTCCCTCTGGCCCACCTGGCTTACCTTTTGGACTTCTTCTGGATCGGTTGGCTGTGGGTTTCTCCACTTGTACTGCTGGACCTGTCGCTGAAACACAGAGGGATGCTTTCAAGTTGCCTGAAGCCAGCTTTTTACGCGAAGGGACGTTTCAGGTCCCCTTGACACCTGCTGGCCTCCAGGATTCAGGTCAGGGACTGGTTCCAGTCACGACACAGGCTATCAAACTCAGTGTGTGTTTTCCCCACCTCTTTGCCTTTGCTCATCCCATACCCTGCCTGGAGCATCCTTGTTTCTTCTCTCCCTACTCAACTCCCGCAGTGTTTCATGGTCTCCAGCAGGCTCTGCTTGCTCTGACTCCCCTGGTCCCACGTTGACCATCTGTCTGCCTGGTGGCAGGATGATGTATTTTCTGGATCCCAGTTTCTTTTGAATGAAATGGGTCTCCAACTGCAGGATAAGTTCATTGTGGACCCTTCCGTCCTCCCGTCTACACCCGTGAGCTCTTACCCTGGGGCCGAGGGCAGACTTGGTGAAGGGATGGTTGAGTCCTCCTCGTCATGTTGTCCTGGGTGTTCCTGACCCGAGACCGCCTCTTCATTTAAGGATCCTCTTCTCTAAATTGGCCCCTTGAACCGAATATCCTCTTCACTTGACTTTGGAGGCAGACAGAACTGGGTGCAGAGCCCAGCTCTGGTCTGTGGGCAAGGAACTCGCTCCGGAATGTCAGTTTCCTCATCTGTACCCAGTCAACTCCTCGTACCATTTGCCCCTTTTTTACGTGGAGGCTGGTTTAATTCTTTGAGTGGCTGCGTCTTCCTGTGACTTTGCCTGGCTGGGGCTCCTGGGGTGTGGGAGAAGCTCCCTTGCTCAAGCCCATCCCTCCTCTATGCCTTCTCCCAGGTCCTCCTTTGGCGACCCAGGTCTTCAGCTCCAGGGTCTAGCACAGTGATGGCGAACCTATGACACTCATGTCAGAGGTGACACGTGAACTCATTTTTTTGGTTCATTTTTCTTTGTTAAATGGCATTTAAATATATAAAATAAATACCAAAAATATAAGACTTTGTTTTACTATGGTTGCAAGTATCAAAAAAATTTCTATATGTGACACGGCACCAGAGTTAAGTTAGAGTTTTTCAAAATGCTGACACGCCGAGCTCAAAAGGTTCGCCATCACTGGTCTAGTACCTTCTCTCTCACCTTGTCTTCCTTTGTTTATTCCAAACGCCTCAAAAATGGACTTGACTGCTCTGTCTGTGTGGTTCTAGAGGGCAAGAATTTCTCATACCCCTCTGATATGTGACTAATCCTTTCCTTTTGGCCTTGTGACCGCTGGGACTCCTTTAAGGAGGCAGGCCTGGCGTTCACCCAGACCCCTCTCCATAGGAAAGGTCCTGGCCTTTTCTGCTTTTCCCAGAGGCTCATGGGACTGGGCCTAGAGGTCTCAGGCCTGGCAGGTGGTGGAGCAAATGCTCCACTCAACGAAGGCAGAGCCCCAGTAACAGTACCCAGAAGGCCCTGTGTTGGATTCCACCAGCTGCCTCAACCCTCCAGATGAGTTATTTGGGGAAACGTGCTGGCTGTGACCTTCCCCTTGTAGATGACTTTCTTCTTTTCTAGCAGTGTTATTAGCTGTGATGAACAAAGAAACACACAGAAACACAAGCAACAAAAGATCCTTTTGCCTGCCTCGGTCTCCTTTCCCTTGTCTCTCACCGAGTTTCAGCCATCCTGGTCTTCGCTCACTGCCTCTAAGTTGCTCCCTGTCTCAGGCCCTTTGCACATGCTTTTCCCTCTGCTTGGAACACCATCCCCACCTTTCCCAGCCACTCAAGCATAACAAGCTCAAGCATGTTAAATGAGGCATGTGGCCCACCGCCACAACTTTGACATGCTTGTGTAGTTCTGAGCTCAGCTTAAATGTCAAAGTCCATCTTGGTTAAGACCCTGGTGCTCAACGTTCAGCCATAGTCATGATTACAGGGCTGACTCTGGGGGGTGATTTGATAAATGCACGACTGTCTCATTTATTAAATGGGACCAGCGATTCTTAACCATGGACAGGATTCAAAGAGTCCATAAATGCGGATGGAAAAAAAGTCACACCTTTATTTTAACTAGCCGTGCGCAGGAATGGAAATCACAGGCATTTGCCCATCATATGGCAATTGTGGAGGCTGTTTTGAAAAATCATTTACCCTCGACACTAATCCAAAATTACGGTCATTCCTAGAACGGCCGCTTAGCCTTGTTACATGGTGCGTTTGCTGAAGAAGCTCACAGATTTACTACATCCCAAATGCGGCTGTAATATCATAGTCCATCTACGACCTCAGTATAGATTTCTTTGTAAACCTTGGTGATTTATCGCTTGCATCTGGAAGGATCCATAGGCTTCCTCCGACTGCTTCTGGCACAGAAAAGTGGCGACCACAGTCCAGACCATGAGATCCACGAGGACAGACTGCAGTTGTCTTATTTGCTGCGGAATCCCCCCCAGACCTAGCACAGTTCCTGGCCCAGAGTGGGTTCAATGAATATTCTTGAGATGAATGAATGAGATGGGGGCAGATCTCCCCTCTTCCATTATAACTCACCCGATTAAGAGGGAAGGACTAGCTCTGTAACACATCCTCCCTACTCCATCCCTCTGTACTGGGGTCTGTGAACCGTGTGGTACTTAGTAAGCAGTTGTTGGGGAGAAATGCCTGGGTACTCAACCCGGGCCAGGGAGTTACGGGGATTATTTCTAGAGAAGGAGAAAAAAGCTGACCCTCCCTGCCCCCCATTCCATGCTCTGGTGAGGAGCCGCTGTACAACCGCCCCTGTCACTGAGGGGTGCCTCCTGACCCACCTGCTGTGGGGCCCAGGCCTTCCTACCTGGATTTGAGGGTGATCTCTTTATAGGCAGAATCGCTCTTGGTTTGTTTCAACATTGACGAGATACTGCAAAGCAAGAAGAATCTCTTAATGAGGCACCAGACCTATGGTGCTCCTGAGGCGGGCATGGTCTGTGGGAGGACAAAGATTCTCTAAGGGCTCCTTAGACTACCGGGCACAGGAGTCACCTGGAGAGACTGCCGAGAATACGGATCCCTGGGCCATGCTCCCGGGGATTTGCATATATTAGGCCTGGAGTGGGGCCCTCCCCCGGAAGCTGCATTTAAAGCCACACACGTGCACACACGGACACACACTCCCTCACTTCTGATACGTATGTGCAGGGAGCACATTTGAAACCTGAGAGTTTGTCAGCATACTGTGATGTAATACCGCTGGAAATGCTTATTAAAAAACATGGTTTCTGCCCAGCCAGCATGTGTCACTGGTTGAGTGTCGACCTATGAACCAGAAGATCATGGTTCGATTCCTGGTCAGGGCACATGCCTGGATTGTGGGCTCGATCCTCAGTGTGGGGAGTGCAGGAGGCAGCTGATCAATGATTCTCTCTCATCATTGATGTTTCTGTCTCTCTCTACCTCTCCCTGAAATCAATAAAAACATGTTTTTAAAAAATACGGTTTCCTCTGGAGATTCTGATCCCGCGGATCTGGGATGAAGACCAGAAATTTGCATTTTTCACAAACATCCCAGCTGATTCTGATCTTTGGGGACCTTTGGAAAACACAGCTAGAGGAATTTAAGAAAAGGCCGTCTTCCTGGACGATGTTATGATCTGAATGTTTGATTCTTCTTGCCTCCCAATTCATACAATGAAATTCTAGCCACCCAAGGTGATGGTTAGGAGGCAGGGCCTTTGGGAAGTGATGAGATCATGAGGGTGGGGCCCTCATGAATGGGATAGTGTCCTTCATAAGAGACCCTAGGGAGCTAGCTTGTCCCTCTGCCATGTGAGGTCACAGTGAGAGGACAGCGGTAGGTAGGCAGAGGGCCCTTACCGGACACCAGATCTGCCCACACCTCGATCTTGGCTTTCCAGCCTCCAGACTGTGAGATAGAAATGTCTGTTGTTTATGAACCACTCAGTGCATGGCATTCTGTGATAATGGCCCAGATGGACTAAAGACAGAAGACAGAGGGTGCTCCGGCCTTGAGGCTAGGGCCTGGCTAGGTTGGAGCCCCCGGATTCCATGTCAACCTTGATGGAAGCCAATTTGACGTCTAAAGTGAGGAGGGAATCCTGATTCTAGAGTGAGGAGAAGCCCTCACTGCCTGCGGCCCCGGGAGAGATGGGGAGATTGTCCTCCCGGAGGAAGGAGGAGGACGGGACATTTCAGCGGTTCTTGCTCTGCAGCCATAGTTATGTTATCATTAAAGCGGACACAGAGGCCACGTGATGAGTATTGTGCGGACCAGATTCTTGCCTGGTTTTGTCTTTGGCGACCTTATGCAAGTCACTCACCACCATTCTTCTATGACTGTGAGGCGGAGCGGTGGTAATGGTTAATAAGTGTGTCTCGTCAAGGTGCAGCGAGGACTGTGGGACACCATGTGTGTGAAATAAAAGTCATGGCCATCACCACCACCACGAGCACCGCTGCCACTTGTTGCCTGCTTGCAGTGTGCCAGGCACATGCTAACATGTGAAATGCATTGTATCTCATGAAATGCATAAAAACGACTCATTGGAGTAGACATTGCGTCCATAACAATAATAATAATACTTTTCCAGGCTGGTATCATTGAATTCTTACTGCAACCCTTTGGCATAGGTTGTCACTGAGCCTCATTTTGCGGAATGGGAATCAGGCTCAGAGCGGTGAAACAACTTGCTCAGCACCACACGGCAGTGAAATGATGAGGATGGAGATGAACCTTCGTCCGTTCGGTCCCAAGGCCAATGCTTTGATGCTGCCCGATCTCATTTGATTAGACCAGGGAACGGAGGTTTGGAGAAAGGCTGAGGGACTTGTTCCAGAGCCTCAGGGTTTGCACCCGTGCAGTCGACTCCAGGCCCGTGTTCGCACGAGGAGTTCTTACAAAGGGAGGAGGGGCCTTGTAGAGCTAACGGTCATCATTGTTGTCTCTCTTTAATGCTGAGGAATCAGGCAGGCAGGGCCTTGGGGGCCAATGCTGCCTCTAAGCCCTGATGCGAATTGAGGCAGCAGCTGAGAAATTCATCATTGCAAGCAGAGGTGAAGGTGCTTGGTGAACTGTAATTACGGTGACAACAATAACCAGTAAGTCATAGCCAGCATCTCAGCGGGCTGAAGGCGATGATGAACCTCTTCTGGTGCCTCATTTACTTTCAGCAAGTAATTTGCTTATTGGGAGGGATCTACACTTGGGAAGGGAACTCCAGCTCTAGCCCGCGTGCTCTCCGAGGCTTTCAGAGGCCAGAAGCTCTGTGGACAATGCTTCCCACCGGAAGGAAGACTCTTCAGGTTCAAGTCTGACCCTCTGAACTGATGCCTCTGGTCGCCGGCTTGAAACTTCAAGGATTCCTGTGACTCCTGGGATAGACAGGAGACTCGGTGAGGTGGCCTCCAGGGTCCCAGGTAGACTCATGCCTCTTCCCATCCATTTTTGCTGCATTTCAGTTCTTTGAAGGTGCATGGTCCCTTGACCAGGTTCGCATATGTGTATGTGTTGCCTAAGGTGTTCTCCCTTGCCACTCCCCAACTCTGCCTGCTAGCTCCTTCTCATGCTGCATTCAAAAATCTCAGCTTAATGTTTATTCTTGGAGGAACCTTCCCTGATCACCATTCCAGACAAGATCAGATACCCGTATTATTTACTCTCACAGGTCTGAGCTTTCCGCCAGAACACCACCCTCTGTAATTAGCACACAGCCCATACACTTTCTTAAATATTCACTAACAGAATGAACGAATAACCTTATAGAGAATGGTTTCTGGAATCAGAAAGATCTGGATTCAAGTTGTGGTCTTACATTCATTCGCTGGGTGACCTCCAGCACGTTTCTTCACCTCTCTGAGCCGCATTTCCTTATTTGTAAAATAAAGATAATAGTACCTGCCTTGTAGGGTGCATGTCAGAACGTGGGGAGATGATACCCATGAGAGAAGCACAGAGCTCTGTGCTGTCGCAGAGAAAACGCTCAGGAACTGGGAATGTTACCGTTCTTACTCTGGTACCCTCTCTGTGCCCAGGGGTCGCGAGAACATACCTGGGTGCTGCTTTTTGCACCTCGGAATCCATCATGATCGTCCTCCGGGCCTCCTCCCGAACCATCTCCAGGAGCTTCTGCAGATCTGATGGGAACATGAGCGCTCACTGTCTGGAGGGCTCCCTTGAGGCCGGCCTGTGCAGGACAGGGCCCACCCCCAGCCTGATATCGCCTCTGCTTCTCCGGGCTGGGGAGCGGCAGAGGGACTGGACTGGGTCCAGAAGAGGTGGCGCACAGCGCTTGGGAACTAAGTGATGTGCGGAGCTTTAGACACGACTTTCTGGTTACAGGTTTAAAGGATGATGTTCTGTATAAACTGGGCTAAATGGAATGTATTGTTAACAGTGTAAACAGAGACGCTGATGACCACCGGCTGTCCCCCAAGGAGGAATAGCTCAGAGTCGCCCAGGTTAGAGGGTGTATTTCTGATCTCCACTGGGGTAAAGCGGAGGGTTCCAGGGGACAGAACAGGACCAGGGAACCCCTGTGTCTCTCTTCATCGAGTCGGGGCAGAAGTGGAGCAGGAGGAGCTCTTGACATCTGGCTTCAAGGCAAAGCGTCAGGGCGGATCGGTCAGCTCCCAGGCAGGACTTACTGATGTGGAGGTCCTCGTCTGGCTTGGTGGAGGACGATTCCGTGTCCTCGATGTCCTTGTTGCCTGCTGCCTGGACAGTCACGCTCGGGGGCTCATCCGAGCCGGGGTTCACGGAGATCATGCTGCTCAGCGGGGAGGACCCTGCACTCGCCCGGGACAGGCTGAGTATGGAGCCTCGCCGGCTTGGTTTGCGGCTCGTGACGCGCTGTGTAGGAGTTTTGAATTTCTTGATCTGAAGGAAAGAGGGAAGAGAGAGGGTTTTAGAAAGCAAGGAAGGCTTGGCCCGTGTGACTCAGCGGTTGAGCGTTGACCCGTGAACCAGGAGGTCATGGCTGGATTCCCGGTCAGGGCATGTTCCCTCCTTGGATAAAGTAGGAGTGTGATACAGTGTCCTCTTTGTCTTGACATTGGCCAAGAGCTGGCTGGCCTGACAAAAAGCCCCTCTGCTCCCTGCCACCCTAGGAGAGAGGATGTCCAAGCTCAAGGATAACGCCTCTTGCTGTCTCCCCGGGCACAAGGCGAGTTCCCGACTCTAGAAACCAGGTGTTTTTAGATCAACCTCATTTTTGAAGACTAGACAGGTTGTGTCCTGGGGGCAGCCTGGGGTCGTGCAGTGAGCACTGGACTCAGAGCCAGGGGACTTCAGGGGGACCTTGAGCAAATCTCTCGGCCTTGCCTCAGTTTCCTCATCTGTGAAACAAAGAGGAGGGACTGGGATGATCTGAGAAGAGCTTTTCATATCTTCCTTGGGTAGGATTTCATTTTGTGCTTCTGAAGTTGCCATTAATTAAAAGTCAATTAATAATCCCAATCAGGAAATCCAAAGTGAAGGGCTGACACTCCTGATTAATTGAGAGTCGGGGAATGTGACAGGCAGGCTCAGCATCTCCCTTGCCCTTTATTGAGCTGACTCTCTCTGAATTGACTTTAACCCCAATGCTTCCTCTCTGTTGTTTGTATTCCACTTAAGAGCTGTGTCAGCCCTGACCGGTTTGGCTCAGTGGATAGAGCGTCGGCCTGCAGACTCAAGGGTCCCAGGTTCAATTCCGGTCAAGGGCATGTACCTTGGTTGGGGGCACATCCCCAGTGGGGAGTGTGCAGGAGGCAGCTGAATCGATGTTTTTCTCTCATCGATGTTTCTAACTCTCTGTCCCTCTCCCTTCCTCTCTGTAAAAAAATCAATAAAAAATATATATATTTTAAAGAAGAGCTGTGTTAACCAGCTGCTGTGTCACACCTCAGTAGGGACTGCAGGGATTCCTTATACTTCCTGAGAAGTAGGGGTTCCGCACTGGTGGCTCATGGGGAGACATGTTTAGCTGCCCAAGATTTTACAAATTGGGGAGATTTTTATGAAAAAACTGAGGCTGTTGGTCTCTCTTAAAAATGAGAAGCCCTCGGCTTCCATCCTCACGTGGCGAAATGAGCTAATGCTGAGCAGAGGGTCTCCCTGTAGCTGGGCCGGAGGATCCCTGTTGGCCACAGACCTCACCCCCAGCTGTGCTTTCCTCAGCCTTGTTTGTTGGCTTGGTTTGCCAGGCTCTCCTGCACGCTGCCGGTGCACCATAAGCTCTACACGGAGCGAAGAGCATCTCTGGCTGTGTGCGCGACTACAGCCTCTCTCGGTGCTCATCAGACGGGTGGAGGAAACGAGGTCAGGAGAGATGAAAGGACGTGTCCACTGCCACACAGCGAACCGAGTCCCGGGGCGGAGCGCGGGCCCCTGATTCCCAATTTTGCACTCCCCCACCCCAGAGGGGACCACGTTGTGGCCCAGAGCTTGACCCACAGACTGGCCCCGGGGAATTCAATTTTGTGAGAGTTCACGTGTGGTGATTCATTCTCTCCTCCTCCGATTTCCCTTGTGTATGTTCCCGAAGGGTATTTGTTAAAGGTTTGTGGCTCCTGCTGCTTTTTCTGTGCAACTCTGGAGACAGATGCACACGCCATCTCCATAGCAACTTTCTGTGATAAAAACCAGCATTCTGACTTCTCAGAGCTATGAACACCCTGATGAAAGAGCAGGAAAATGTCGAGACTCTTTATGAGGGCCAATTATAATCAGGATACCGTGGAGAATATGCATTCCGAGGCTCAGCGTTTCACAAACAGTGCTTAATAAACAGGCTAGGATTAACTCCTGGCTCTGCCGTTACCCAGCTGTGTGACCTCATGCAAGTCACTTAACCTCTCTGAGCCCCTATTTTCTCCTCTTCCATCTGGGATCAGAATAGTGCCTCATGGGATTATTAAGAGGACAGACTAGCTTCCTTAGCACAGAGCCTGGTCCATTGCAATGATGTTAAAAAGTGGCTTCTAAAAGTTGTATAGCCACAATAATGCTCGGCACTTGAACATTTTTTTAAAAAAATATTTTTATTGATTTCAGAGAGGAAGGGAGAGGGAGAGAGAGATAGAAACGTCAATAATGAGAGAGAACCATTGATGGACTGCCTCCTGCATGCCCCCCACTGGGGATCGAGCCCACAACCTGGCATGTGCCCCTGACCCGGAATCGAACCCGGGACCCTTCAGTCCGCAGGTCGATGCTCTATCCACTGAGCCAAACCAGGTAGGGTGGCACTTGAACATTTTTTTAAAAAACATATTTTATTGATTTTTTACAGAGAGGAAGGGAGAGGGATAGAGAGCTAGAAACATCGATGAGAGAGAAACATCGATCAGCTGCCTCCTGCACACTCCCCACTGGGGATGTGCCCCCAACCAAGGTACATGTCCTTGACCGGAATCGAACCTGGGACCCTTGAGTCTGCAGGCCGACGCTCTATCCACTGAGCCAAACCGGTTAGGGCGGCACTTGAACATTTTCAAGGTGAGTATGTGTACTGCTTCCTGGGATCCTTTACTAATGGGCAGTAGACAGGGATGAGCATCATACCCATTTTGCAGGTGAAAGGAAAGGTTCAGCAAACCCTCTAGTTGTATGCTCTCTCAACGACCTTTACATACCTAATATCATCTGTCATTATTATTATTTTGGTGCTTTGTTGAGTGGATGAGTTTGGGAGATTTTGGGGTTAAGATTAGTTTTTGGTGAAAAGAATAGACCTCTTGATATTCTCTTAATAAACACATGTTCTGGTTTATAGAAAACCCTGTGTGTTAAATCATTCACGTATTTTCTGTGTGTGTGTGTGTGTGTGTGTGTGTGTGTGTGTGTGTTAGAGATGATAGAGATAGAGATAGAGATAGAGATAGAGATAGAGATAGAGATAGAGATAGAGATAGAAACCGCGCGCGAGAGAGAGAGAGAGAGAGAGAGAGAGAGAGAGAGAGAGAGCTGACTATTATTGAGTGAGTCCATTTCCTTCTGGTGACACCCTATTGAGCAGCGCCATGGCCACCCCTCCCCTTCTCTGTGATATGGCGTCCAACCAAATGTCATTTCTCCTCTAATCTCCAGATGACTATCTAGGCAGCGGTTCTCAACCTGTAGGTCGCGACCCCTTTCGCAGTCGAATAACCCTTTCACAGGGGTCGCCTAAGACCATCCTGCATATTAGATATTTATATTACGATTCATAACAGTAGCAACATTACAGTTATGAAGTAGCAACGAAAATAATTTTATGGTTGGGTCACAACATGAGGAACTGTATTTAAGGTTGAGAACCAATGAATGTGGTTCTGACTTTCCCTCACTCAGAGAACCAGCTAGAAGAGAAGAACCCAGTGAGAGAAAAGACTGTAGAGAATGCCTCCCGCACAAGGAGGGGCTGGTCACCAGATGGCAGAGTCGTACGCGCCGTCTGTTACCTTGGGTGCCGTGAGGAAGTGCTCCCACCGCTGTACCATGGACTTGTCCTTAATGACTTTCTTTATTGTGCTCTTGCTTCCACCTGGGTCCCTAAGCAAGAAACAGAAACAGCTTAGTGAGTTTTCCAGTTCCAGAGTCTCAGTTTATTTTTTTATTTATTTTATTTTTAAAAAAATATATTTTATTGATTTTTTACAGAGAGGAAGGGAGAGGAATAGAGAGTTAGAAACATCGATGAGAGAGAAGCATCGATCAGCTGCCTCCTGCACACCCCCTACTGGGGATGTGCCCGCAACCAAGGTACATGCCCTTGACCGGAATCAAACCTGGGACCTTTCAGTCCGCAGGCCAACGCTCTGTCCACTGAGCCAAACCGGCTAGGGCGAGTCTCGGTTTATTAGGAGTTCTTTTAAGAAATGCAGTGAACAGATGATGATTGGTGGTTGGTCTCAGTGATTATCCCCACCCACCCTGCCCCCTCCATCCTGTACTTGTGAAGAAGTGGGAGGGACAGTTCTCCATAACTGGTCTTGCGAGTGAAAATCAAGGTTAGGGAGACTACTGCTTACTCTATCCATCCACCCAATCCATCCATCCCTCTAATCCATCCATCCAGTCCATCTAGTCCATTCCATCCAGTCCATTCAATCCATCCATCCATCCCTCCAATCCATCCATCCAGTCCATCTAGTCCATTCCATCCAGTCCATTCAATCCATCCATCCATCCATCCATCCATCCATCCATCCCTCCAATCCATCCATCCAGTCCATCCAGTCCATTCCATTCAGTCCATTCAATTCATCCACCCACCCACCCATCCCTCTAATCCATCCATCTAGTTCATCCAACCCATTCCATTCATCCAATCTACCCATTCCTTTCATTCCGTTCATCCAATCCATCCATCCATCCACCCACCCATCTCTTTCTCTATTCCTCTTTTCTCTGCAGAAAGGACTTTAGATGGCTGGGATCCTTTCAATCATTTGGCTGACTGTCACCTGGCGTAGACGAGGGCCTTGAGGGAATGAGATGGTTAGACCAGTTTGATGGGGAGAGGCACTGACAGGGCTCTAGAGTTATCAGGGGCTGCAGAGGGCCAGTGGTGGGAGGAGATGCTCAGATATTGGAGGCAAAAGGTGATCAAGACCAACCTTACTTAAGACTGGCTTGTCATGGCATGGGGAGAGGACCGAAGGCCTTGACCAGCCTAAAGAGGGGGGTGGTGCACTCCTCACTGGCAGGACCTTGCTGGGCACCTGCCAGCTCATGGCTACGATGCATGAAATGTGCCCAGACACCAAGGTGGAAGTCAGCTGGGGAGCAGGGTGAGGCTGTGCCTCAAGCTTTTTGTAAGACCTTATGTTTGATTACACAATAAAAAGCCCTCTGAATAATTAACAGTAAAGCTCATTTAACGTGGTTCTGCCTGCCTCTCCCCCGAGTAATCAAATTAGGGAATACTTAAAATCCAGCCAGAGAAAGGGGCAGCAATGCCTCAGTCCTATAAACAGTATTCAAACTGGTGGCACTTCTGAAATCTGATTTAAGGCTCACCAACTGGAAGCGGGCTTCCTCCTTGGAGCATTTTTACATTACGATTGGAGATATTTACATTACAATTCATACGCCCTTTCCACAGGGCGTTTTGCCTGTTCCCTTTGCTAACACAGCTCCCCCGCTGGGCCTCTAGCCTTCTTGAAGTTCAAAAGCAACCCCTTCCCCTTTTAAAATTAAATCCGGTCCAAGCCAAGCTTTCAAAATTTTAAATATTCCGGCCGATTGGGGAAGATGGAGGTTTTCTGTTAACACCGACTTCCAAGGCGACCCGAAATCTAATGCAACTTCAGGCAGCGGGCTAAATGAGCTAACAGCAAGCTTCCCAGTGATCTCAAAGCCCGGTGCCTGCTCCTGCAAAGCCACCGATGAAGAAAGGGCCTGGTTCGACAGAAGCAGCCTCTCTGTTTCATGTTCAGAAGCAAATAAACCAAAAGGGAAGATCAATAGGGGGAGGAAAAGAAAAGAAATAAACCGTCGGGGCTTTGTCGTCCACCGGGGGCTGACTACCCACCTTTCGGGAAAGGGCAAAGCCATTGCTGCCCCTTGCGGTAGCTGGGTGGGTTGATCGTTATGTGGTTCACCAAACAGTCCCAGGTCTTCAGGCTCCTAGAAGTCAGGTGTCGCACCGTGACTTGCTTAGCTCAAGAATGCATGAGAGAAAGTGACATGTGCACTTAGGGTGCCGGGCCTCGAGGCGGAGCCCCTTTTCTGCTGGGTGGATGGCGGAAGCTTGCATTGAGATGGAGCTCCTACCAGCCTGGGCCTTTGAGCGACTCTAATGAGCAGAGAGCCCCATGTCGATGACATGCAGGGTGAGCAAGGAATAAACTTGTGTTGTGTGACGCCACCGAGATTCTGGGGTTGTTCATTATGTCAGCGTAACCCTGTTGACCTAATTGATGTCCCTGATTTACTGTCTGTGACCTCAGGCAAGTCTTTCCGAGTGCCAGAACCAGGAAAGTGGTATACCTTGGTGGTTTAAGAGTCAGGCAGACTGGCTGCCCCCACTGCTTCCTACACGTGTGTTTGTGTAAGTTACTGAGCCTCTCTGAGCCTCAGTTTCCTCATCTGTAAAATGGGGTGGTATTAGCTATGTGGTGAAGGTGCAATGGATGAGGCTTGCTAAGAACTTGGTGAAGTTCCTTGTACAGAGAACTGAATACAGTTAAACTATTAAGAGCAATATCCCTTTTTCAACGGAGATCTTACTGTGGCTTGGAGGAGGGGTTGTGGGGTGGGGAACGAGATACCAAGGCAGGTCCACTGGGGGAGAGATGGCTATGATTTCTGGACCATAATTTCCACCTGCTGACACTTTGTGGGAGATTCTGTTTGCTGGGAATCCAGGGACAAGGGCACCCAGCACTCTCCCATCTCTTTCCAGCACACTTTGTTCCTAACGTTCACTTGAAGATGTCTGTCCACCGTGGCAATCAGCGTAATTTTTCTCAGATACTTCACTCTCTTCTGAACCAAGTTTCACCTTCTCTGAGTGGGAAGCCTGTCGTCTGGTTTAGGAGGCGTCGTGTGTCTGTGACCCAGATGGAGAGTGGAGGTAACTGCTGATTTTGCACCAGGGAGAGGACAGAGGTCAAAACTGTTGGGATCACCACGCAGGTCGCCCTGTCCTGCCTCCTGAGTGAGGGGTGCGTGCTGATCACCCTGCCCTGCCCCCCACTCCTTAGAGATGCCACTTGGGTAAAGGACTGGATGAATGTGCAGAGAGGAGGGCAGAGAGTTCACTCAGATGTCACCTCTTGAGTGAGTCTTCCCCACCCCACCCCTTCGTCACTATCACATCACCCTCTCAGCTTCTTCATGACACTTAAAATCCCAAAGTATCTTGATTATTACATGTTTGTCTGTGGCCCCTCCCACCTCCCCTAGAACAGAACCCGGAGAGCAGGGATGTTGTCTCTTCTTCCAGTGGCGCCTGAAAACAGCCGGTTTGAGGGAAATGAGGCTTTTCGGGGTGGGGCGCCTAGCAGCGGAAAACCACTTCAGTGTAATAATTGCTGTTCTGTGCGTTGTTCAGAACAGGCTACACTGCCTTTTTGTAAGAGCGACAGCCTGGCAAACACTTGAAGTTTTATTTCTTTTCTAGCCTTAGGTCTCACAGAGCGAACTGCTCTTCAAACAGGGATTTTAATCTTGAGCAGCTGTCCTACAGGGAGCACAATGCGGACTGAATGCTCTATGCACGTTCTCTCAGTCCTCACAGCTCTTCTCGGCCAGGAACCCATTTGGTAGGTGAAGGAACAGGCCCAGGCGTGCTAAGTGACTTGCCCAAGGTCGCATTACAAGGCAGGGCCGGGGCTCATCCAGGTCTGTCTGATGCCAACGTCCTGCTCTTCATCCCTCCAATCCATCTAGGCTTAAAACGTGCAGGTGAAGATTTGGGGACATTCTCATTATGACATAAGGATGGAACATCACAAGTAGGGATTAAGTGTTAAAGAGAAGAAAGATGCCCTTCGCCTTTCTTGCTAAGTAAAAAGGTACTTTCTGGCACTTTCTAGGGAACTTAACCCCTTTCCCCACCCCCCTCCACTGATTTGCTAAATTAAAAAAAAATCAGGCTCAGGCAGCGCCGTGCTGGAGCTCGCCTCTTCCCAGCTGCGAGTTCAGTGACGTCATGCTGCTCAGCCTGGACGCAGCCGCAGCAGGACTATTTCCACCGCAGGCACGGACAGGGCCTGACTGTAAGTCATGGCTGCTCCCGCTGGGAGAACCGGTTACTATCCCTTTACCCGCAGACCCCGACCCCGAAATGAAACCACCACCAGGAGCAAGTCGATCGCTAGAAAACACAGCCCCACAAGTACCCTGACTGCCTTTGGGACTCTCTGCTGTCAGGTGTGGCTGAGGTTCTGCCCTGAGGAGTCACAGCAGAACCTGCGTGGCCTTGCAATGTGACCACAGGTAACAGTTCTTTTGGTCACAGTCTGGGCACATTCCCAAAGCCAATCAAAGGAGATAAAGATGGTTCTTTCTGTTTTCTTGGCCCCAATTCTGCATGATGTTCTCACCTCAGTTTGGGAGAACGGGCGCTCAGCTGTCAGAGGCAACACATTGCCGCTGGAAGCTGGCTTGGGGAGATGAAATGCTATTAGAAGTCCATTGGCTGAGGGCCCTTTTCTTAGAATCTAAGCAGTCAACTGTGAAAAAATTAGATGTTGCTTTGACCTGGAAATTCGATTTCTCAGAATCTAGCCAACAGAAATATCGCCAACAGGGTTTAAAGTGTGTGCACGGGGATGCTCTGTGCAGCCCTATTTGAAACGCAAAAATTTGAGAGCCATCAATAGAGAAATGGATATCTAAATTATGGCCCATTTGTACCATAGGATACAAGTATCCGCTTAAAGGAATGTGGAAGGTCTTTAAAAATGTGAAAACGTGGGCCCGGCTGGTGTGGCTCAATGGTTGAGCGTTGACCTATGAATAAGGAGGTCACGGTTTGATTCCAGGTCAGGGCACATGCCCAGGTTTCGGACTTGATCCCCAGTAGGGGGCATGCAGGAGGAAGCGATCAATGATTCTCTCTCATCAATGATGTTTCTATCTCTCTCTTCCTCTGCCTTCCTCTCTGAAATCAATAAAAATATATTTTTTTAAAAATGTGAAAACTTTGTAGATACCATCATGAAAAGATGTCCAACGATGTTGTAAAAGGCGGGTGGGGGAGGCACGTAGAAAGCAATGTGTAATATGATCCCATTTTTGTAAAAATGCATTTCTGTATGTATTTATAAGGGGAAGACAGTAGAAGGACTCACCTCAGATCTTCAGAAGGAATTTCTTCTAAGGAGGAAAATGAATTGAGGATTGGGGGGCGGGATAAAAGCTTTCATATTTTACATACTGCTGAGTTTTTGGGAAAAGTTTAATAGGAATAAATTATATTTATTACTTTAGCAGTTTTGTTTAAAGAAAATATTGTGGGAATTGTTTCAAGGCTGTGATTTTCATGAGCCACAAAGATATTTTGGAAATAACTAGGGTGCCTTGGTGGGCGTGGGAGGAGGCCCAGGTCTCCCAGACCCCCAAGCCTCCATTTCATTAGAAGCTCCATTTTGAAAAATTTGCTTTACATTCTTGGGGTTTCCATTTCTTTTAAAAAAGGATTTCTGCTGCTTAAAAAGGGGGTGGTGGTGGTATAAATCACTACATCAAAGGAAACGACAGTTTTAAATTTATCCCAACCGAGAACAGGGAATCCATTGGAGTCACTGGTCAATCAATAGATGCATGGTTTGTGTTTCTTGTTGCACCTGAGGTTAGTTTATCTGGGCTCTGGTTCAAGAGATGAGGAGGGTGTGGGGTGGGGATGTGAGGATGGGGTGGGGAGATGGGTGGTAAATATCCTCAGGGGGAAGGGGTGAATTGACTTCAGAATTTTGCAAGAGAAGACTTGGGCCAATGCAGAATTGGGGCCAAGAAGACAGAGAGGACCGCCTTTATCTCCTTTGATTGGTTTAAGCTTATTCGGGTGGGAGTGTGGAGTTCCCACTAGGGGGCATTATTTTATTTAACTCAGCCTTGGATTTCACACAGCACATCCGGTTCCCCAAGTCGGGATTCCTTTTTTGCTCCATTCTTGCAGGGAGCATGATTCTCCTTAAAGGACCAGTGCTTTCCATGCCTGCCTGTGCTTTGTTCTGCCTGTGTGCAGAGCAGTCCTGCAGCAGTGGCCTCCAGGCTTTTGCATGAGCCACCCTGCTAGTGGGGACACACCCAATACTTTTCTTGGCCTAGACAATGTGTGCTGGAGCTTGTGCTGAGCAAACCCAGCTGCTCCAGGGACCAGAACAGCAATTCCCTTGGGTCTAAGTGGAGAAATAGCCATCCTATATAATAAAAGGGTAATATGCAAATTGACCCTAACAGCAGAGTGACTGGGAATGACTGGTCACTGTGACACACACTGATCACCAGGGGGCAGATGCTTAATGCAGGAGCTGCCCCCTGGTGGTCAGTGGCTCCTACAGGGGGAGCTCTGCTCAGCCACAAGCCAGGCTGATGGCTGCCAGCACAGCGGTGGTGGTGGGAGCGTCTCCCGCCTCCTCAGCAGCACTATGGATGTCCAACTGCAGCTTAGGCCTGCTCCCTGCTGGTAAGTGGACATCCCCTGAGGGCTCCCGAGCTGCCAGAGGGATGTCTGACTGCCAGCTTAGGCCCAATCCCCCGGGGAGCGGGCCTAAGCCAGCAGGTGGACATCCCCTGAGGGATCCCAGACTGCAAGAGGGCACAGGCCACGCTGAGGGACCCCCTGAGTGCATGAATTTTTGTGCACCGGGCCCTATACACACACACACACACACACACACACACACACACATTAGAGGCCCAGTGCATGAAAATCATGCACTGGTTGGGGGGTGGGTTCCTCAGCCCAGCCTGCACCCTCTTGCAGTCTGGGAACCCTCAGGGGATGTTTGGATGATGAACATCCTTAGCACTGCCATGGTGGTGGGAGCCTCTCCCACCTCCACCGCTGCGCTCACCAGCTTCTGGCTGAGCAACACTCCCCCTGTGGGAGCGCACTGACCACCAGGGGGCAGCCCCTTCCCCCTGAGGATATTTGCCACCCATCTCCCCACCCCATCCTCAGATCCCCACCCCACACTCTCTTCATCTCTTGTACCAGAGCCCAGATAAACTAACCTCAGGTGCAACAAGAAACACAAACCATGCATCTACTGATAGACCAGTGACTCCAATGGATTCCCTGTTCTCAGTTGGGATAAATTTAAAACTGTCGTTTCCTTTGATGTAGTGGTTTATACCACCACCACCCCTTTTCTAAGCAGCAGAAATCCTTTTTTAAAAGAAATGACTTCAGAATTTTGCAAGAGAAGACTTGAGAGAAAGGAGACTTGAGAGAAAGGAGAAATACAAGGGCAAAGGGAAAGGAAAGAGTAAAAGGTAGGGAAGAGGAGGAAAAGAAAGAAGAGCAAATAATAAAATATTGTTGGGGAGACATGGTCCAAGAAGAGAAGTGGAGAGCAGAGCCTGGCTGTGCATCTGGTGGGGTGCCTGTCTAGCTGGCCAATGGCCGTGGTGTGAGTACTCCCACCAGGCCTGATTGATCTTAAGCTCCCAGTGTGACATCGCCAAATGTGGAGCTGGGGGAGATGCACACAGTAGTCTCCCACAGCTGTATGCCCTGGGGCTCCAACCTACCCCTGTTTGGATCTCCCAGAACACACAGGAAAGAAAACTCCTAAAGCAGCCCACCCACCAAAAAACAGAAAGGCAGGGGAAGAACAAAGGGGCGTTTCCTCCCCCACTGCCCAGTCCATTACTGGCTGCAGCAGGTGGCAGGGTTGAGACCTACTTTGTGTTCCAGCAGGTGATCAAGGGCTTCATGGTGTGGTGGGTGTGGTCGATAGTCAGGGCCTCCAGAAGCCAGTGGAGGGCACACAGCTGGCGGAAGAGGGGTTCCCTTCAAAGACAGAGAGGAAGCACAGTGAGATCCCATCAGAATAACATTCTTCACAACTGTGCTGGCTCCCAGTTAGAGATGTTGTCCTGCTCATGCCTGTGTACTCCCCATGCATCAACTCATCAAACCTTTGCAGTGGCCCCATTTTACAGATGAGGAGCCCGAGGCTCAGAGGAGTTAAGGAACCTGTGCCACGTCACTGGGTGAGTAGGTGGCAGAGCCATGATTTGACATAAGATACCCTATGCCAGTGACTGGGGAGTTGTGTGTGTGAGAAAAGGAGAGATGTTGAAGGGGTACCATGGCTGGAGTTCTTGACTTGGGCAATGAGGGGATTGAAGGAAATTAATATCCGACAGGTATCCAATCGTTCACCTGATGAAAGTACAATAAATACATTAAGAGTGTTGAAGAAGTCTGGAAATCCAGGGAAACTAGTGTATTCACTATACTTCTCCGCCACCCCCAGATTAACAGTTGGACCCATTGCTTTAAATGTATAAATCTTTTGAACACTGAAGGAAAATATATTGATTATTTGAAAATCCAACTAAATCCTGTTTAAAATATGTCTAACCTGTATTTGCTGATTTTGGGGGGCATCTAGTGTTACAATGAGCCAGGCGCTGACGAGGCCCCTTTACATGTGTTATTAATTCTCCCAATGGTCTGCGGGGGCATGAATCATTACCCACATGTTAGAGAAAGGGAAACAGCTCAGAGAGGCACAGTCATCTTGCTCTAGGTCACACATCTTGTTGGTGACAGAGATGGGATGTGACTAGCTCACTTCATGTTCCCAACATCCCTGTAGGGAGGGGACTGCCATTATGTTCTCCTTGTGGACCAGGGCCTGGAGGCTCAGAGAGGTGAAGCGAGTTGCCCGAGGTCACGCTTGGATTTGACCTCGAGGATTAGTGAGGATTTGTGAGGATTTGTGAGGATTTGAACCTGAGTCTGTTTAACCCCAGAAACTGTGCTTCCCTGGGCCTGGCCTCTGATTATTCGAGGCCCCGACAAAGCCAACGCAGTGGCCACCGGAGAGGGAGGTCAGCAGAGGGTTAACCTGCTGCAGGTTTCCTGGGAAGAGGTGGAGTCCTCACCAGCACCCCCTCCCTCACGGTTTCACCTCTTAAGTTAATGGGCACGCTGCCTCCATTCTCAACCTGTGTGGTCGCTCTTCTCTGAAGCTGTGCCCAGCCTTCACCGATGCCCCCAGGGCCCTGCACCTGCTGCTCAGGGGCAGGAAGGAGTCCACCTGCCCTGCTTCCAGGAAAGCCCCACTGCAGAGGCTGACGCCCGCGCCGGGCTCACGTCCCGAGCTGACCCAGGGCCATCCTGGAAATCCCTTTCGGAGGCCATCATTTCACTCAGCCTGAAGGGGCACGGCCCCCACGCACCCCACACATCTCACCTCCCATCCCACGTCCCATCCCAAGGGACTGGGGTGATCGTATCCACCAGACCTTAGGAAGAAACCCAGGGTCAGCAGCTCTTTTTTCTCCTCTGGAGCCCCCTCCTGCCTCCTTTCCTTCCTTCCACAGATTATTTACTGAGCACCCACTATTCCTTCTCTTTTAATATAAAGGACCCGTCAGCCTGCAGCCCTTCCCATTTTCTCTCTCTTCCCCCTTAATGCCACCTTGGCCCCCACCCCCTTTTCGCAGCTCTGGGCGCTGGGCCATGTCCAGCACTTCACCGAGAGCAGCAAGCAGCGAGCTGGGTTGTGTGCCTGGCCCTGTGCCTAACACCGCACATCACCCTCACAGTATCCCCAGGAGGTTGTAAAAGGCCTGGAGATCCCCCCTCTTCTGTTTACAACTCAGAGCCCCTGCGGGCTTGGGCTTTGGGTTGGGTGAGGTGGGTACAGGGAACGGGGGGATGGTGAGTAAAGGGAGGTCATTGGGGATGTGGGGTCTGCTTGGTGGCAGGGGGATGTGGGGATGTGAGCATCAGATTCAATCCTGCAGGTAATAAGCACAGGTGCATACCCGACCCTGTCCCTTCCTGTGAAATGCAGGGCATAATGGATGAGAATGCTGACCAGGGTGCACACGCATGCTTCCGAAACCCCTGTGCACAGAACTCCGGGAGGGCACCCTGTGGTCAGAGGGCCTGGAGAGCCCGCTTTGTTGAAACTGCCATGCCAGCCAGAGTACATGCGGGTGTAAGCATCCCCGAACAGAAAACAATGTTTTTCCCATTTAGTAAGAGAAATCAGAAGATGCCTACCAAGGCCTTCCAGGCCCCCATGCTCACTGCCAAGGGCAAACCTGGACGCAGGTCACGGGCACTGCCCTCCCCACACAGTCGCTTCCATGAAAGACTGTGAGGGAAAGGCCGGACATCTCAGAGCTGTTTCTCATTCCTTGAGACTATTCTCTCTCACCCCTTCAAAGATCAAAGTCAAGCCCGGCCAGCATGGCTCAGTATTGAGCATCAACCTATGAACCAGGAGGTCACGGTTCGATTCTCGGTCAGGGCACATGCCTGGGTTGCAGGCTTGATCCCCAGTAAGGGGGCATGCAGGAGGCAGCCGATCAATGATTCTCTCTCATCGTTGATGTTTCTCTCTCTCTCTCCCTCTCTCTTCCTCTCTGAAATCAATAAAAATAAATTTTAAAAAATAAAGATCAAAGTCAAGTCTCCATTGACATGATTGAACTGATCCTCACAAAGTTAGCTGAGACTTTTCAGCTGGTTTGGGGATCAGTTGCATCGGGATTGAAGGGACTAAGCAGCTCAGTCCACCTGGTTGACATGCTGACTGAGGATGTGAGACCTGACCGCATGCCCTGCCTTTGGCAGACTGATTACAGAATGCCTCGATGCACCACCCCTCCCTGACTTTGCAGCTCCCCCAGCAAGAGGTGGAGTATTTTTCCCTATTCCGTGTATCTGGGCTGGACTGATGCCTTGCTGTGGCCAGTGAAGGTGGTGGAAGGATCACTGTGTCCATTCTGAGCTTAAGCCTCAAGAGACTAGATGCTTTGGCTCTTGTTCTTGGAACCTTCATGCCCGTCATGTGAACGGGCCTGAGCTGGGATGATGAGAGGCGCGGGGCTCAGTCACTCCTGTTACCCTAGCCAACAACCCATCACCAACAACCTGAGAATGAGGCCATCCTAGATGGGCCGACATCCAGCTCGCCCATCCGCAGGGTGCACGCACATACACTAGCACACCCAGGAGTAGCCAAGCTGGCCTGGACCAGAAGAGCCACCCAGCTAACCTGTAGACTTAGGAGCAGTAACAAGTGGTTGCTGTCTTAAGCCACCCATTCTGAGGTGGGTCTGTAACACGGCAATAGACTACGGATATAGTCATCAAATGCAGCAGAGCCTTTTGGCAGCCAAGGAGAAGTAAGTGCAGCTTCAGTCCGGGCAGGAGTTAGCAGAGTGCTGCCAGTGGGCCTACTGCTTGTGTTGGCAAATAAAACTTTTTTTGGAACACGGCCACATCCATTCATTGTGGCTTTCATACTGCCACGGAAAAGCTAAATAGTTTCAAGAGAGACCATCTGCTCTGCAAAAGCTAAATTATTTATTGTCTGTCCCTTTAAGAAAAAGTTTGCTGATTCCTGGTCTGGGGCATAACAGATGATGATGATGATGATGATGATGATGATGATGGTGATAAATATAATAGTAGTAGCCCACCTAACAAACCTGATACAAGATCTAACTTAGGAGCTAGGAGATCAGGATTCCTGTTGAGAGAACTTAGGCAGGGTTTCCCCCCTCTCTGAGCTTCAGTTTCCCATCTGTCATTGAAGGAAGATGAGCAAGAACCTTTCCAGTTACTTCCAGTTGATTTGAGCCTCAGTTTGCTCACACCAAATGAATGGAGGGTAGGGCATACATTTTTTCCAGGCTTTCCACCCCCACCCCCTACTCCCCACCTCCCATCCCCGGATGACTGGGATGCAAGTGAAAGCGAGACCCACTGATCTTCACCATTTGGTTTCAGAGGCTCATCCATGGCAGAGACAGGCAGAAGTACAAGGGCTTCCAAGAGACATTAGGAGAAATGGCAAGGCCTGTCGATGTTTTAAGAACATCAGCCTTCAGCTGCCAGTTGGAATGTCCCTGAACAAATAAGTCTATCTAGAAGCCAATCACAATATCTACCAGAGGGAAGTATGTAGGAGGAAAGTGGGGAGTGAGGTGTCAAATGCTGGAATATTAGGGAAGGGTAGGGATGTGTCCAAACACATGGTAGTGGTGGTAATGGTGATGATGATAGTGATGGTGATGATGGTAGTGGTGGTGATGGTGATGATGATAGTGATGGTGATGATGGTAGTGGTGGTGATGGTGGTGGTGATGATGGTGATGGTAGTGGTGGTGATGGTGATGATGATAGTGATGGTGATGATGGTAGTGGTGGTGATGGTGATGATGATAGTGATGGTGATGATGGTAGTGGTGGTGATGGTGGTGATGATAGTGATGGTGATGATGGTAGTGGTGGTGATGGTGATGGTGATAGTGATGGTGATGATGGTAGTGATGGTGATGGTGATGATGATAGTGATGGTGATGATGGTAGTGGTGGTGATGGTGATGATGATAGTGATGGTGATGATGATGGTGGTAGTGATGATGATGGTGATGGTGATAGTGATGGTGATGGTAGTGGTGGTGATGATGATAGTGATAGTGATGATGATGGTAGTGGTGGTGATGGTGATGGTAGTGGTGGTGATTATAGTGATAGTGATGATGATGGTAGCGGTGGTGATGGTGATGATGATAGTGATGGTGATGATGGTAGTGGTGGTGATGGTGGTGATGATAGTGATGGTGATGATGGTAGTGGTGGTGATGGTGATGATGATAGTGATGGTGATGATGGTAGTGGTGGTGATGGTAGTGGTGGTGATGGTGATAATGATAGTGATGGTGATGGTGATGATGATAGTGATGGTGATGATGATGGTGGTGGTGATGATGATGGTGATGGTGATGGTGATGGTGATAGTGATGGTGATGGTAGTGGTGGTGATGATAGTGATAGTGATGATGATGGTAGTGGTGGTGATGGTGATGGTAGTGGTGGTGATGATAGTGATAGTGATGATGATGGTAGTGGTGGTGATGGTAGTGGTGGTGATGGTGATGATAGTGATAGTGATGATGATGGTAGTGGTGGTGATGGTGATGATGATGGTGATGGTGATGATGATGGCATCTTCGACACATGAACTAAGTGCTCTTATTAATGATCTTCGTTTGTCTGCCATCTCATTCTCTGATTTCACTTTCACATTATTTTTCTCTTCAAGTACACATATCGTGAGCTCCTCACAGGCACTGGGTTATACTTTCTGTGCAGTGTGTGGTGGTGACAGTGTAGGCTCTGAAGTCGGGCAGACTTGCCTTCAAACCTCAGCACAGCAGCACACTGAGCTCTATGGCCTTGGGCTTCTGCTCTCTCCCTGCAGAGAGGGGACAGCAATGTGCCTACAGAAGAGGACTGGATGAGGTAACTCCTACGGAGCAGGCTGTGCGCTGTTATTACTGTGCATACCATGGGGGCCTAATGCTGTTTGACAAATGAGTGGACAGTGGACAGTGGACAGAGAAGTCTAGAATTCATTGCATCATGTTCTTTTGCCCCTGGGTATGATTTTGCACCCAGGGGACATTTGTCAATGTCTGGAGACAGTTTTGGTTGTCACAACCAGGGGTTGGGTGCTACTGGCCCCTAATGGGTAGAGGCCATGGATGCTGCCAAACACCCTACAATACCCAGGACAGTCCTTCACAACGAAGAATTACTCATCCCAAAATATCAGCAGTGCCAAGGTTGAGAAACCCCTGCCTGCCCTACTGTCAAAAGCTTCTATCTCTGTGCCTGAAATCTTCCCATTGAAAAGTGCTAACTAGCAAAAGAGAAAAAGTTGGACTTGAAATTCTTTGGCGTAGACCCAAGGGGAAAAGATGTCAAGGTTTTGGAAAGCCAGAGTGTCCTTCAGAGGGTTGATTAGCCCAGTACACCCTGCAATGATGAGTTCACGCCTGGGGTCAGAAGACGCAGGGCTTCTCTGGGAAACAGCTCTGCGAGTCTTGGGGAAAACCTGTCCGCTGAGCCCTGGTAAGATGTTATCGCACACGCTCTGTGAGGCTGTAGACAGATTCTATCAGGCTTTGCAAACTATTTGACATTTAAAGCGCTGGCTCCGTAAGGAACGGAGTGACTCCGTCCCAGCTGATTTGCCACTTAGCTCTAAACCACCCTGTCTGCTTTCTGTTATTTTTATACGCCAATAGTGTTGTCGGCTCTAGGCTCCATGGCCCTTTCAGGAGGACAGAGGAACAGCTGGGTGAGTCATTTCACTTCGGTTTCGCTTGAGAAGCTAGCGAGGCAGACGAGCCAGAGGGGAGACTGTACTTACACGTGGGACTCAGGCAGCAAGGGTGAAATGATGCAGCTGTACTTGGGGGTGAAAGGGCGGGATATGAGTTCAGCCCCTGCCTTCTTCATCTTCTCATCATCATAGGTGCTGAAGGACAGGCAGAAAGAGAAACAGCCAACAGTGAGCAGCAGTTGTAAACACCTCCCGCTAGGGGTTATTTGGCAAATACGACTGGGCACCAACTTTACGCTGGGCAATAAGTATGGCTTGAGAGATGAGGGTTCTAGATGCAGAAAGTGAACAGAGCATAGGAAAACCTCTCTGCTGCCAGCTGGTGTGGGTCAGTGGTTAGAATGTCGGCCCCCACACCAAAGGGTCATGGTTTGATTCCCAGTCAAGGGCACATAGCTGGATTGTAGGTTCGATCCCCAGCCCCTGTTGGGGCACGTGAGGGAGGCAGGCAACCAATCAACATGTCTCTCTCACAAAGATGTTTCTCTCTCTCTCTTTCCCACACCCCCCCACTCTGTCTTTCTCCTTCCCTCCCTTTCACTCTCTAAAAATCAATGGGAAAAATATCCTTGCGTGAGGATTGACAAGAACAACAAAAAAACACACCAACAAAACAAAAAATCTCTGCTCTCGTGGAGCGCATAGTCTAGTGGAGGAGCGAAGAGAATGAGCAGGATGAATAGGTAAATTGTGTGGTGTACTAGTATACAGTTGGATATATTTTCTTAAAGGGCCAGACAAGTCTTTCTGACTTTGTAGGACATAGGTTATATGTCACAACTACTTTTGGCATGAAAACAGCCATTGACGGTATGTAAACAACATGTAACGGCAGTGTTCCAATAAAACTTTATTTACAAAATCAGCCTTGGGGGCTGGATTTGGCCAGCATGGCCTCCCCACCCTATTCTAGATAGTGATAAATGCTAGGGGGAGCAAAAAGCAGAGCAGGAATGTGTAAGGGCTGGGAGCACTGGGAGTTGCAATTTTAAGTAGGATGATTGGGAAGGTGTCATGGAGAAGGTGACATGTGATAAAAATCTGCAGAGCATAAAGGAGGGAGCTGTTGAGATGTCTGGGGCACAGCATTCTGGAGAGAGGGAACAACATGTGCAAATGTCCTGAGGTGCACCTGGGTTGTAGAGACAGCAAGGAGGCCATTGTGGCTGGAGTGGAGTGAGCAATAGAGAGAGAAGGGGGGGGGGGGGTTCGTGGAGAGAGAACAGGCCTTGGGGACCACTGCAAGGACTTTGGCCTTTGCTCTGAATGAGTGTAAAGGATTTTGAGCTGAGAGAATACATGCTCTGACCTGCATCTGAGAAAGATCCCTTTGGCTGCTGTTTTGAGAATTGCCTATGGTGGGGGCAGAGGAGGCTAAGGGAGGCGGGGGGCACTTATTAGGAATTGTCCTTCCTCCGGGGAATTTGAGGACAATCCTGGGGTCACAGAGTAAACTGAAAAAATGGGACCAGAATCTTGGTCGCCTGATTTCCATTTCCATGGGCTTTTATTTCAACGCCAGAGCTGAGGAAGCCACAAGCAAATACCTTGGCAGGGTCTAGTTTTTTTGTTTTTGTTTTTGGTTTTGGATGTCTTCCCATTTATTCAGGTCTTTATTAATTTCTTTGTTGACTTTATTGGGGTGACATTGGTTAATAAAATTATGTAGGTTTCAGGTGTACAATTCTGTAATATGTCATCTGTATATTGTATTATATATTCACCCCCACAAGTAAAGTCTCCTTCTAGCACCATTTTTATGGCAGTGCCCTGTCTTACTGGCTCAACTCTTACCCCCAGTGGTTTAGAATATGCAGAAATTAACCCAGCTTTTACCCACCTTAATCTCTGGTTTTAAGTCTCTCAACCACAATAGTAAGACAAATTTTACCTCTTGTTCCCCCCCCTCCCCCCCCCCCACACCTTTTCAGCTGAAACATGAGCTTGAGCACAGTGGGAAAGACTGTGGGCAGGCAGACATCTTTGGGGACATGCTTGATTTTCTTTTTTCCCTGCATAGTTTATCAGACTTAAAACTTTTGTCTGACAGAGCTTATCCTGTGGTCTTAGATCCAGAAGGGAGAAAAATAATCCCCTTTGCTTGTATAATACGCAGGATCAAATGCCTTGTTTAAAAATGAACACTTGTACTTCTGATACTTCTGTGACTAGAATTATAGAAGCATAGTTCTTAGATGTAAGATGCTTTCAAGTGTGCCTGGAAGTTAAGATGTTTAGCCATGGCCCTGGCTGGTTCAGCTCAGTTGGTTGAGCCTTGTCCTATGCATTGAGAGGTCTCTCTGGTTTGATTCCTGGTCAGGGCACATACCCAGGTTGCAGGCTCGATCCTTAGTAGGCAGGGGATACAGGAGGCAGCCAATCAATGTGTCTCTCTCTCTCCGTCTCCCTTCCTCTCTCTCTAAAATCAATAAAAGCATCAAAAATAGTTTTAGCTATAAATCTGAGGATTTTAGGTAAGTGAGGCCCAAAGAGATCAAATTCCTTTTATTGAATAATAGGAGCCAACAACCACTGAGAACTTTTCATATGCCAGACTCTGTGCTCAGCATTGTTTCATTTAATCCTCAGAATAAACGTGGGAATTTGGTATCAATTGTGTGGATGAAGAGAAAGGAGGTTCAGAGAATTACAGTGACTTGCCCAATGGTAATCAGTTGTATGGGGGAAGGCAGAACTTGAACCCAGTCCTGTGCTTAACCACTATTCTGTACTGGTCAGGATGACCTATCCATGTTATTCTATAACCCTTGCCTCCCAATGGCTACATTTAATGGCAGTGATAGCTCCTGGTCATCCTATCTAATAAAAGAGAAACATGGTAATTAGTGTATGTCCGCTACCCTTCCCATTGGCTAATCAGCGAGATATGCAAATTAACTGCCAGCCAAGATGGCGGCCGGCAGCCAAGCAGCTTGAAGCTAACATGAGGCTTGCTTGCTTCAGTGACGGAGGAAACCAAAATTCCCCGCCTGCCTTGCCAGCCTCTGAGCTTGCAGTTTGAAACATTGTTACAAATATAGAAGCTAAACAAAACCCCAGAAACCTGCTTTCAGCCCTCCGGGATCTCAGAGCTGGAGTTGATACAGTGTTTCGATTATAGAACCCAAACAAACCAGATACCTGCTTTTAGCAGCAGAGGCCTCAGAGCTGGAGCCAGAGCTAAAGCTGGCCCAGAATAAAAAATAAAAGAAAAAAAGGAGCAGTTGGGAGCTTCAGTCACCCATGAGCCTGAAAACAGCTCTAAACCACTCACCCAGACTGGCCAGGCACCCCAGTGGGGACCCCCACCCTGAAGGGTGTGTGACCAGCTGCAAACAGCCATCATCCCTTCACTCAGGCTGGCCAGGCACCCCAGTGGGGACCCCCACCCTGAAGGGTGTATGACCAGCTGCAAACAGCCATCATCCCCTCACCCAGGCTGGCCAGGCACCCCAGTGGGGACCCCCACCCTGATCCAGGACACCCTTCAGGGCAAACCAGCCAGCCCCCACCGTGCACCAGGCCTCTATCCTATATAGTAAAAGGGTAATATGCCTCCCAGCACTGGGATCAGCAGAGCCACAAGGCCTCCCAGCACCGGGATCAGCAGAGCTGAGAGGCCTCCTGGCACCAGGATCAGTGTGACAGGGGGCAGCGCCCAAACCCCCTGATTGCCCTGCGGCTCTGTGTGTGACAGGGGGCAGGGCCACAACCTCCCTATCCGCCCTGCTCTGTTCGTGACAGGGGAAGGCGCCCCAACCCCCTGATCAGCCCTGCTCTGTGCCTGATAGGGGGGAGCTCCCCAACCCCCTGATCGCCCTGTGGCTCTGTGTGTGACAGGGTGCGGTGCCCCAACCTCCTGATCGGCCCTGCTCTGTGTATGACAGGATGCGGCGTCCCAACCCCCTGCCCCCCACGGGCCCTGCTCTGTGTGTGATGGGGTAGAGCCATAACCTCCCCATCAGCCTGCCCTGAGTGTGACAGTGGTGGCGCCCCAACCCCCTGATCGGCCCTGCTCTGTGGGTGATAGAGGGCGGCGCCCCAACCCCCTGATCCGCCCTGCTCTGTGTGTGACAGGGGGCGGTGCCCCAACTCCCCTATCGGCCCTACTCTGTGAGTGACAGGGGGAGCTCCTCAACCCCCTGATGGGCCCTGCTCTGTGCGTGACAGGGTACGGAGCCCCAACCACCCTGATGGGCCCTGCTCTGTGCGTGACAGGAGGCAGCGCCCCAACCCCCTGATTGGCCCTGCTCTGTGCGTGACAGGGGGTGGCACCGCAACCTCCCCATCGACCCTGCCTTGAGTGTGACAGGGGGCGGTGCCCCAACCCCCCAATCGGCCCTACCCTGAGCGTGACTGAGGGTGGCATCGCAACCTCCCAATCTGCCCTGCTCTGTGCATGACAGGGGGCAGCGCCCCAACTCCCCAATCAGCCCTGCTCTGAGCCTGACCAGGGGCTGCACCTAGGGATTGGGCCTGCCCTCTGCCACCCGGGAGCAGGCCTAAGCCAGCAGGTCGTTATCTCCCGAGGAGTCCCAGACTGCGAGAGGACACAGGCCGGGCTGAGGGACCCTTCCTCCCCCCGAGTGCACAAATTTTTGTGCACCGGGCCTCTAGTCCTATATAATAAAACCCTAATATGCAAATTGACTGGACAGTGGAATCACCGGTCGCTATGATGTGCACTGACCACGAGGCAGATGCTCAACGCAGGAGCTGCCCCCTGGTGGTCAGTGTGCTCTCACAGGGGGAGTGCCACTCAGCCAGAAGCAGAGCTTATGGCCGGCAAGCACAGCAGCGGTGGTGGGAGCTTCTCCCACCTCCACTGCAGGCAGGCGGTAAGGATCGAGGGATCCTAGACTGCGAGAGCCCTGGACTATGACAGGGGGTGTCTGATTGATGGCTTAGGCCTGATCCCCAGGCTTATGCATATGTCTAAGCCGGCAGGTGGACATCACCCAAGGGGTCCTGGACTACGAGGGGGCACAGGCCGGGTTGAGGGGACCCCCTCTCCAGTGCATGAATGTTGTGCACCAAGCCTCTAGTACAGGGGTGGGCAAACTTTTTGACTCGAGGGCCACAATGGGTTCTTAAACTGGACCGGAGGGCCAGAACAAAAGCATGGATGGAGTGTTTGTGTGAACTAATATAAATTCAAAGTCAACATCATTACATAAAAGGGTACGGTCTTTTTTTTTTTTTAGTTTTATTCATTTCAAACGGGCCGGATCCGGCCCGCGGGCCGTAGTTTGCCCACGGCTGCTCTAGTATTTTAATAATTGGCCTGTACAGCTCATAGAATTCACCAGATAAGACATAACCAGACCAGTGTCTACAAGAGGAGCGACCTCATGCATATTTAAACCTATTAAACTTTAAGTAAACCATGTCTCTCACCCGGAAACATGGATCGGAGAGGGGAGAATGATGTGTTGTGACCATGGATTAAAAACCCCATCCAAACAAGGGGAACGTTACAGCTGAACAATTGAACAGTCACCCAAGGATCTTTAACAGACGCCGCCCCTCCCAGCCCCCGTTCACTTGCCTGTTACCCTGAGCACAGCTCCTGCACAAAAGAGCCGGTTTATTCCTTCTCTTTATTGCAGGAAAGGCAGCCAGCTGGCCGGTGACCTGGGAGCAGCAGGCCGTGGGCACCGCCGGCTGAGGGGAGGCAGAGTTCGTTTGCTCTGAGCTCCTGAGACCCTCATGGAGAGGGTACCCCTCTCGGCCCCACCCCCAATCATTGAGTGCCCTTCTCTGCATCACCTGCCCCTTCAGGGTTCCATGAGGGCACTTCATGGTGGCCGTTGAGTGGCTGGATGGAGGAAGCTCAGGTTGTGATGTGCCTGTTTTTTTTGTTTGTGTTTAATGTTTCTGGTGTTAGGCAAAAAATACCATCACAGCCTCCCTTTTCAGCCCTGGCCTTCCTACCCAGAAACGCTGGCTGTAAGAATTTCTCGTGGGCTGATAGGCATATGTCTAACAGCGCCTATTTTTGTCATCCAATGAAGTCCCACTCAGCATTAAAGATCCTGCTTAAAAGCCCTGCCTCTGAGATTCTTGCCAGATTCCCTAAACTGGAGGGAAAGGGCATTGTGAAATAATAGAAAAATATTTGTATCGGTCTCTTCCTCTGGTTTTTGGCACAGAGCTCGCAAGACTCTTGTAATGTCCTAGCACTAGGACCATCTTTTGTTCTAATATTTGGTCTTAGACCTTGGTTTCTGACACACAATTCCTAAATTCATTGGAATTTCCTGGGCTACAGGATTGTCTGTTGTTCTAATAAGGCAACTCTTGGTGGGTTCCTGGATGGCGTCCAAAAGCCATGATTAGAAGCTTGGAACTGCCCCAATGGGTAGCTCAGTTGGTCGGAGCAGCATCCTGTGCACCACAAAGGTTGTGAGTTCTGTCTCCCTCCAGTCAGGGTGCCTGCAAAGGGCAACCAATGGGCGATTCTCACATCAATGTTTCTCTCTCTCTTTTTTGCTGGGTCCCTCAACACCTCCTTTCTATCCCTGATCTGTGCCCCATTCTGTCTGCATGAGCTAAGGATCCCAGGATTTTGTTCATGCTGAGTGGCACCGTCCACGGATTCGGGTGTCATTCATTTGGGGTCTCAGGATGCTTTTAACAGATGACCTGAGACCTAAGGGGAATTATGTGAGCATCTCTCAGCCTTATTCCTAATCTCTAAAATGGGGCTAATAATAACACCTAGTTCATAGGACTGTTTTAAAATTTAGACAGAAAGATGTGCATAAAGCACACAGTAGGCCCGTTATAATTATTGTTGTAGTTGTTATTGTTAATTGCTGCTGTTATAGGAGGAACATGTCCTAATGGGTTAGTCTGAATGTGGTCCTCTCTTGACTAGAGGGAAGACCTTTACCCCCCAAAGAGGGGGGGCTACTTTATTAAATAAACCAACAGACATTTTTTGTCCACCTGCTGGACACTGAGCTTGGATGGACCTAGAGCGGCGGTTCTCAACCTGTGGGTCGCGACCCCTTTGGCGGTTGAACGCCCCTTTCACAGGGGTCACCTAAGACCATCCTGCATATCAGATATTTACATGACGATTCATAACAGTAGCAACATTACAGTTATGAAGTAGCAACGAAAATAATTTTATGGTTGGGGGTCACAACATGAGGAACTGTATTTAAAGGGCCAGAAGGTTGAGAACCACTGACCTAGAGTTTCAGGCAAAGGCCTAGAGTATTGGTGTGGATTAAAGTGAACTAGCATACAGACACATTATGGGAACCCAAAGTCCAAATGGGTTGTGGGAGGTGTTTGGGTTGAAACCCAAGAAAATGGGAGAGGAAAGCATTTAAGCTGGGCTTTTAAAGATAATTAGAACCTTAGTTGGACAAGGATGCAGGGAAGAGCAATGGAAGGCCCAAGGAACAGCATGGGAAAAGGCCTAGAGGCAGGGACAAGCCTGGGAAGGAGAGGGAAAGAGGCACATTTGGGGACCAGCAAGATTTCCTGTGTAGCTCTTGGTGTTGGATATGAGGACAGACACATGTAGCAGAAAATATTCCACTGAATTCCAGAAGGTGAGGGTGGCAGGGTAGGCTGGACCAGACTACACTCGTCATTAGACACGAGCTGGAGAAGGGTCCCCACGCTGCGATAGCTGCCATCCCTCCGCCCAGCCAGGCAGCGTTCGCTGTCCCAGGTCCTTCCCAAGACCACTACGCCACAGCGACTCTGTCTACTCACTCCAAAACAGTTTCCCTGGATTGGATTTCTGAGATCTTTTTGGCTGGTTGGAACTTGTGTTCCTCTTCCTCTTTCAGTTTCTGAAGTTGCTGTTGCTTCTTTTTCAGTGTATTCTCCTCCCTCAGCATGGCAAAATACCCACGGCCTATCTTCACAGACCGAATCAGGAAGCTAGAGAGATGGAGACAGAGGAGTTGACTATTAAGAAAGACACTGTCTTGCCCTGGCCGGTGTGGCTCGGGTGGGCGTCATCCTGGGCACTGGAAGGTTGTTAGTTCGATTCCCTGTAGGGGACATGCAGGAGGCAGAGCGTGGGGCCAGCGCAAAGGACACCCGTCATGTGTGGCCGTTGCGCGTGGCCGTGGGAGGGCTCCAGGGACGCTGGCAGACCCCGCCAGCTCGGTGAGCTTTGGGCTCCGATTTCAGTGTGTAACTGGACCAAAGCCTCCACCTTCCCCTGCAGAACTTGTGGCCAATTAGATGTTGAAATGTCTGTGTTATAGATGGAATTGTGTTTCCCCAAAACTCATAGCTGGAAGTCTTAACCCCCGGTACGTCCGAATGGGACCTTATTTGGAAATAGGGTCATTGCAGGTGTAATTAGTTAGGGTGAGGTCATGTTGGCGTAGGGCTGACCCCTCATTCAATATGACAGGTGGCCTTATAAAAGGGAGAAATTTGGACAAAGACACACATGCAAAAAGAATGCCACGTGAAGATGAGGCAGAGATGGGGCGATGCTGCCATAGGCCGAGAGATGCCAAAGATCACCAACAAGCCACCAGGAGCTAGAGGAGAGTCGTGGAGCAAATTCCCACAGTCCTCAGGAGAAACCAACCCTCCTGACACCTTGATCTTGGACTTCGAGCATCCAAACATGTGAGGCAATGCATTTCTGTTGCTTAAGCCACCCGACTGGCAGTATGTTAGGGCGGCCGTAGGACAAGAATGCAGTATGAGCGAACGTCTAGTCCTCCGCTCATGGAACAGCCTAACTCTTTTTATTTCCTTTGGTGTTAATAACGTCCTGATTAATCAATTTTATAATAAGTGACAGGCGGATGGTCCATGGTGCAGTGAGTCAGAGGGCTTGAATATTATGTTCCAGGCCCTGGGCTGGACACCTGTTATGTATCAGATTCTGTGCTGGGCACTTATTCGGTTTCAAGTTCTGTTTAAGGCACTGGCATTGCAAAGGCGACCATATCCTCCAAGAATTCGCATCTTCGTTATCTATTTTTTTTTGGGGGGGGGGGTGGTCACAATTAGGAGGTTGGTAATAGATTTATTTACTTGACTTATTTTTGTCCTTATTCCAAAAAGTATTAGAGGCAGAAAAGAAAAATAAAAAGGCAGGAAAAACAACAAAATAAAATCAGGTGAGACAAGTATCAAAATCCATGCCACGTGATCTAGTGCACAGATTTGGCCCTGAGCATCCTAGTGGCCAATGCAAAGAGGGAAACACAATCCCTCACGTGATTTCTAATGCCCATAAGTTTTTTAAAAAGCTGTTCAGGTGTTGCTTAGCTATTCCTTGTCCTGAACTAGGAAGAGATTTCTCTCAAGGACCTGCACAGGGAGGACACTGTGAAAAGTCAAGCCTGCAACACACCCGGAAATGCAGAGTGATGAATGCCTGCCTTGTCAATAACTCCCAGAAAGAGATAGGGGAGTCGGTGTTGGCCAATTGGAGGAAATCTAGCAAGTTTTCTGGTGGAATTGCAGCCCCTCTTCACCCAAGGCAGCCAGACTCCCACCTGCCAGACCTCTGGAAAGACCTGTGTGAGAGATGAACAGAGTTGGGGGGAGGGTCTGGACCCTCATGCCAGACACACCAGTCTACTCTGGGAACTTCAGGCTGCAGGATGTCCATTCAGGGAGCTTGAAATGCTCCCCTGGCATGTGTAGGCCTATTTAAAAAATGCTTAATATTTTAGCAAATTCCCATTTAATTCCCTACATTTTCTTCATCTTATTGCTGATTACCAGGCTATTTGTGTGAAGGGAGCTCTTTGTAGGGAAGAGCAGTTTTTGCCTTTAAATCCACTCACGCGGGCCTCTTGCTCACTGCTTTTCGCAATGGAAAACTCCCCTGGCTAGCATCGCGGGAGGAACGATGGGGATTGAAACAATTAACTGCGTCAGGCAAGCGGAGGGAAGAAGCGGATTAGAAAATGAAAAGTTTCCTCTACCCAATGCGACTTCCTCTTAACCAGTGCATGAGGGTGGCTTTTATTTTTAAGGGACATATGTTCTCTGCAGGGGAGTCTGTGTGAGCTGATGAATGAGGAATGTGCCAGTGGCCAATCGGGACACATTCAGCAGGGATAGCTGAGACGGACAGAGGGCAGGAGTGGGCACCCAGGCTTCCCTCCTGGCACCTTCAGGCCTGAGGGCAGGTATCTGCAGAGGTAAGGCGTGGGCAGCAGCCCCGGATGGGATCTCTACTCTGCCACTCCCTTAGCAGGTTGTCAACCTCTTCACCTTCACATGGGGAAAGTATTAGTTCTTGCCTCAGAGGGCTGTTGGGAGGGTTAGATGAAGTGGACTGTGACACCAAGAGCTCAGTTCGGTGCCCAGTACACAGGATTCAGTGACTGGGAGCTATTGTTATTGTCAGTTTACCCAAGAATCCCGAGAGGTTGGTGTGACTTACAGATGAGGAAACAGGGAAAGGTTAAGTAGATGACGAGGGTCATACAGCCGGAAAGGAGCCAAGCAGGGATTGGGAGCCCGTGGGGCGATTTCACAACGTGTCTCTCCACCTGCACGCGGCAAGCACATTCAGAGGAAGCTTTAAAGCATAGAGTTTGTGTGTCTCTGGGCCATTGTGCAGAGTTCACCTCTAGGCTTCTAGAAGGAAAATGGTGGCTTACCCTTCCTCTCCGAACCATGCTTTACCTGGTCTAAGGCACTACCTGTGGCACATTAAGTCACTGTTCAGCAAATGCTCATATCCGCCCTGCCGCCCCCGCCCCCCACCTTTCTTTAGGCTTTGCCAATGTGACTTCTTTGGCCAATGGGTTGTTAGTAGATGTGACTTAAAGAGAAGCTTGACATAAGCTTGCTCATTTACATCCATGACAAGGAGAGAAACCTCACCATTTCACTAAATCCAGAAGAATGAGAAAGGCATGGGCCCTGACTGGTTTGGGTCAGTGGATAGAGCGTCAGCCTGCGGATTGAAAGGTCCCAGGTTCGATTCCAGTCAAGGGCATGTACCTTGGTTGTGGGCACATTCCCAGGAGGGGGTTGTGCAGGAGGCAGCTGATTGATGTTTCTCTCTTATCGATGTTTCTAATTCTCTATCCCTCTCCCTTCCTCTCTGTAAAAAAATCAATTTTATATATATATATATATGATATATATATATATATATCTCCTATCTAATAAAAGAGAAACATGGTAATTAGCTGTACATCCGCTACCCTTCCCATTGGCTAATCAGGGTGATATGCAAATTAACTGCCAGCCAAGATGGCGGCCGGCAACCAGGCAGCTTGAAGCGAACATGAGGCTTGCTTGCTTCAGTGACGGAGGACTCCAATGTTCCCCGCCTGCTGCTGCCGGCCTCTGAGCTTGCAGTTTGAAACATTGTTACAAATATAGAATCTAAACAAAACCCCAGCAACCTGCTTTCAGCCAGCTGGGATCTCAGAGCTGGAGTTGAAACAGTGTTTCTATTATAGAACCCAAACAAACCAGATACCTGCTTTCAGCAGCGGAGGCCTAAGAGCTGGAGCCAAGCCTCAGAGCTAAAGCTGGCCCAGAATTAAAAAAAAAAAGATAAAAAGGATCAGTTGGGAGCTTCAGTCACCCGCCAGCCTGAAAACAGCCCTCAGCCCCTCACCCAGACTGGCCAGGCATCCCAGTGGGGACCCCCACCCTGAAGGGTGTGTGACCAGCTGCAAACAGCCATCATCCCCTCACCCAGGTTGGCTAGGCACCCCAGTGGGGACCCCCACCCTGATCCAGGACACCCTTCAGGGCAAACCAGCTGGCCCCCACCCATGCACCAGGCCTTTATCCTATATAGTAAAAGGGTAATATGCCTCCCAGCACCAGGATCAGCAGAGCCGAGAGGCCTCCCGGCACTGGGATCAGCATGACAGGGGGCAGCGCCCAAACCCCCTGATTGCCCTGCGGCTCTGTGTGTGACAGGGGGTGGGGCCACAACCTCCCTATCTGCCCTGCTCTGTTCGTGACAGGGGAAGGCGCCCCAACCCCCTGATTAGCCCTACTCTGTGCCTGATAGGGGGGAGCTCCCCAACCGCCTGATCGCCCTGCGGCTCTGTGTGTGACAGGCTGCGGTGCCCCAACCCCCTGATTGGCCCTGCTCTGTGTGTGACAGGGTGTGGCGCCCCCCCCCGCCGCCCCTCCCCCCCCACACACACAGGCCCTGCTCTGTGTGTGACGGGGTAGAGCCATAACCTCCCCATTGGCCCTGCCCTGTGTGTGACAGTGGCGGTGCCCCAACCCCCTGATCGGCCCTGCTCTGTGGGTGATAGAGGACGACGCCCCAACCGTCCCTCACAGGCCCTGGTCTGTGTGTGACGGGGTAGAGCCATAACCTCACCATCGGCCCTGCCCTGAGTGTGACAGGGTGTGGCGCCCCAACCCCCTGATCCGCCCTGCTCTGTGTGTGACAGGGGGTGGTGCCCCAACTCCCCTATCGGCCCTACTCTGTGAGTGACAGGGGGGAGCTCCTCAACTCCCTGATCAGCCCTCCTCTGTGTGTGACAGGGGGGAGCACCCAAACCCCCTGATCGACCCTGCTCTGTGCGTGACAGGGTATGGAGCCCCAACCCCCCTGATAGGCCCTGCTCTGTGACAGGGGGCAGCGCCCCAACCCCCTGATTGGCCCTGCTCTGTGTGTGACAGGGGGTGGCACCGCAACCTCCCCATCAACCCTGCCTTGAGTGTGACAGGGGGCGGTGCCTCAACCCCCCAATCGGCCCTACCCTGAGCGTGACTGAGGGTGGCATCGCAACCTCCCAATCTGCCCTGCTCTGTGCATGACAGGGGGCGGCGCCCCAACTCCCCAATCAGCCCAGCTCTGAGCCCGACCAGGGGCTGCACCTAGGGATTGGGCCTGCCTCTGCCACCCGGGAGCAGGCCTAAGCCAGCAGGTTGTTATCTCCCGAGGGGTTCCAGACTGCGAGAGGGCA